AATCAAAAGCAGAACTGATAAATGTATTAAAATTAAAAATGGAAAATAAATTTATTTATTTATTTATTTTATTTTTTTATCCTCACCCGAGGATATTTTTCCATTTTTTGTACAGATAGAGTGGGAGGGAGAGAGAGGAACAGAGAGAGAGAGAGAAACAGCGACGTGAAGAGACACATCGAGTGGCTGCCACCCGCACGACCAACCAGGGCCGGGGACAAACTTGCAACCGAAGTACGTGCCCTTAGCGGGAACCGAACCCAGGTCTCTCCGGACCGCAGGCCGACGCTCTAACCGCTGAGCCAAACTGGCCAGGGCTGGAAAATAAATTTAAAAGAAAGCACTACCTATGCATGACATAGTACTATAATGAAAATTTAAAAACTACAAATAAGTTTAATTTACAAAATCAGAAGAGAAACATTTCTGTTTCCTGTACATGTTTTCATATCCCGTTATCAATCTTTTCTTCTGAGAACATGTTTCACGAGCTGCAGCTACAAGATGGTCGAAGATCCAGACAAGGATCCCTGACAGACAAGACTCAGACTGGGCAATTTTCACACATTAACTTAAAGAGACAGGGAGGGTGACTGAAATGTTGATGATTTTCTAATTAAAGCACAGATAGTTTGGTATTACTTGTTCCCCACAGTTGAGTACGCTAACCTTGCCCTATGAAATCTTGATTTCACATGTCTCTGAGGTAGGAGTGAAATTTATATAGGCGTATGGCTAAATCATGTTGACAGTTTTAGTTTCAAGGGTGTGAATGAAGTTATTTCTAACAAATAAACTGGTGGTGCTTTAAAGTGCAATGATAAGCATGCCAATTTTGCATGAATTACATTCTGAGAGCTGGCGTTTTTTGCTTTATCATCTTTCTCATAAGATAATACTATATTGAGTGTCCTTCTTCATGCAGCGCTGAACCCAACAACAGTAAGAATTACGAAGGCAGGAAGGGACCTTCTTTATGGCATTCTTTATTGTGTCAGATATTACAAAATCCTATGTACATATTATATTACATATATTATATGGGAATGGCATTGAAATATACATACTCTTATTGCTATAGATATGATTTTAATTACATTGAACATGTCGATGATAATCATGGTTCTTTTCTATTGGTGGTGTTGCTGTGAACATAATTGCTATGGTCGTAGTCAAATTCTGGTGTTATTAGCATTTGTGTAAACTCCTTGACAAATTTTAACGAACAATTCTTCTCATATTTTGTTTTGTTGCTAAGATGTCCTCAGACACATATCTCAGTCCTGTCGTTTACCTTCACCACCACACTCTAAGCACACAGATTCCTGTGTCCTCTGTTGTTTTCAGTCCTAAACAGTTAAAAAGAAGATGCCCAAAGTGGCAGAACTTCTCTCCATCAGGAGATGTGGGGACTAAGGGGAACACAGAGAACTGAAAAGGTGGCTTATTCCCTGGGCCTCAGAACATCGTATGCTGGCATATGGACCACAGCAATATGGGTAGCTCTGGAGATGGCCTTTGGGTGATGGAAGGAGTAAGGTTCATTCATATTTCCTATTAACTGATGCTTGCCTTTACCTGACAACCTCCGATTTCCTTACTGGTGTCTCTCCACCTTAAATCTAATGTCTCAGAGGAGGTCCCAGGACACCCGCACCACTCCCCTTGCCCTCCAACACTATCCTGGGCTTCTAATTTTTTCCAGATAACATTTTTATACTCTCTTCACAGACAAGTTCAAAGACATTAAGTCCTCATTATATCTGGTGTTTTCAAGTTATAGATGGGTCCAAGGCTTTTCAGCCCATAGTGACCCTACCTCAACCTACTCAAACATGCATACTAGGTGTTGTAGTTTGAGTTTTGAAAGAAAGGGTTTTCGTGGAGGCTAAAAAAAAAAAAAAAACACCAGATGGAATGTGGCTTAGATCAGATTCAAAGGGAGGCTGCAGTAAAATGATGACCATGTGATTTGTGGGGGCACACATCCTAGACGTCCCTGTGCACTCCACAGAAAAACATTCCACATGTGCTGCTCTCCACCTCCCTTCAATTGTCATCAACATTTGTATATTAAATATAGATTATATCACAAATCACTCTACAGTATATCTCTGCACTTACCACCAGATGCCCAATCATCCTGTTCTTTCTCAAGTGTGAGAATGAAAACTAGACACTTGAAAAAAAATCTGGCTGTTTGTAATGGCATAAAATACATTGACCCTAAAACCAGTAAATCTACTGTTGCGGTGAGGGTCTGCGAAGTGAACAAAAAACACAAACACACACAAAGACAGACAAGACTGCAGCCCAAAGTCCTGCAGTAGTTTACTTATAAACCAAGTAGATAGGCTGCTGTGGTCCCAGTTTCTTTCCAGATAATTAATCTAAGTATCACCCCAGCTGGTTCTTATCACCCCCATTCAAAGGTTAGCTGCTGTCCTTAAGAACAACTTGTCCTTCTTGTTTGCAGGCAAGGAGGAGGGAGCCTGTGTACAGGACATGCTCTGAATTGTTCTTAAGAGTTGAGCAGCACTCCAAGGCATCTGTGTGCAGAATATCCTTGTTAACCTTTGCATGAGTCCATCCGTGTGCGGAATAAACTTACATACAATCTACATCAGCAAATCTACTTATACAGTTTACTCAGAGCAATAAATCGACTGTTTCTGAAGACTGGATATGGGGTCCCACCAAGGCCTGCATGAACATCCAGTGCAGATTCAACCCTGCTCCTTCCCACTGGGGTGGCAGGAGGAACAGGCTTATCTTCCATCCTGAAGACTGCCATAGTCTGTCAGCCCACTAGAAGGAGTGAGGCCAATAAGGAAAAAGCAACTGAAAGCAAAAGTATGCCTGTGAATATGTATGTACTGTGTGTTGGAGGGTGGGGGGTATTTATTAGATGCAGAGCTTGAGTATTTTTGACATTGGTGGTGCCAAGGACCTAAAAAATACTTTGTATCTAAAAATTCAGGTCTTTTTTTTCCTTGTAACTAGGGACTTAATCCTAAATTGGAGGACTGGCATTCCAGTAACCAAAGAAAAATGATGTCCCTGGAGTTGATTTGTCAGTCACTGAGGATTATTGCTAGTAATTCACAGCAAGTAAGTTTGATTCCCTGTCAGGGCACATGCCTGGGTTGCTGGCTCGATCCCCAGTAGGGTGCTGATGGATGTAGCTTTCTCTCATTGATGTTTCTCTTTCTCCCTTCCTCTCTCTCTAAAAAAAAATCAATAAAAACATATTTTAAAAAATTATAAAATACAAAATAAATTAAAAAATAAAAACATTCTGTTAGCCCGGCCATGTGGCTCAGTGGACTGAGTGTGGATGGGAGGTCCCAGTGCCCCCAGTAGGGGGCATGCAGGAGGCAGCTGATTAATGTTTCTCTCACATCGATGTTTCTAGCTCTCTCTCCTTTCCTCTAAAAATTCAATTAAAAAGTATAAGAAATGAAAACATTGTGTTGATTTTCACAATAATACATTAAGTATATTTCATATTTTTTACAAATGTGAAACTGAATCCTCTAAAGTTTAGTTTATTTCATTAGGACTCACAGTAAGTAACACAAGAATTGAAATGATTCTCACTGTCACACACACACACATGCACACACACTCACCCTTATCTATCACTGGCAGAGCGGGAGTGGTCTAGACAGCAGCTCAGAGGGATCTGGGTTCTGAAACATGAGACTTCAGTAAAAAAACCCCTAGTGCCCTGAAGACACAACCTGCTTCATGAGACATTGACACAGCTTCTATTTCTCAGAAATTAGTAGAGAAAACGTTTATTCAGTTGAGACAGTTACAAGTTATACACTTAATGATATTTTTTTCATAGTGATCCTAACAATGGTGTGGTTTTATTACCAGGATTGTTAAAAAAATAAAACAAAATCAGCATTAAGGTATTTTATTCAAGGTTCACCGTGCATATTTGGAGAGATTGGACATGAACTCAGACAATGAGGACACAAAGTTTACAATGTTAGAAGATACTACTTATAATATTTTCTCCTTCATTCCCTGATGAATAAGGAATATCATGCGGAAAGAGACACACCCCTAAGGACTCACTCTGTAGTGACTGACTTGTATACAGGTCTTAAGTGATACACAAACATTGTTGAAAAGCTTTCCTTCATCTTCTCAAAGGTGGAGGATGTAAAAATTGGCAGAGATGCTACCTCCATACATGTCTCTATTTTTAATGAGGCAATAGTCATTTTCTTTATGATTACAGAAAATGATGAATTAGGATTCCCTACTAATTCAAACAAGATACTGGGAAAAAGTATGACATGAGTCACATTGTACACCCTATTGGTGATCTAAGGGTGTTCAATTAGGAATAAAAAAAGGTAGCAAGGGAAAGATGGTAAAAGTGGTACAGATAAACTCAGTCCATTAGATGCAGCCAAGGCACGAGGCACTACATAGAAGTGGGTGAGGGTGCAAGAGGTTTATGACCTTGGAGAACACAGTGTCATGGGGGCAACACATTTCATAGGATTGAAATATGGAAATATTTTCTTAGGAAAGGAACAGGAAGAGAATTTATAGATGAGAAACCCATGGTTAGAGATGTTGAAAAATGAGACAGTGCCAGCATTGTAGTCTACGAAAACCCCAACACAATGGGGAGGAACAGTCAGGGACAGGGTTAAGGCTGAGGCATTGGAAGAGGCAGAATCCACAAAAGCCTTATATTCAGAATGATTCTGTAACCCTATAACCCAGTAGCCATATTTAGGTTGATATCGAGAGCAAACATGTTGATAACTGTTACCTTGTCTTACAAAACCCATCATATTAGAATCAGGGCAATTATCACCATATACCCCCAAAACCCAGGCATATTTGTCTGACACATCTACGTCCCAGTAATGTTTCCCTGATGTAATACGGGGTGATCCCAGAACACCATAATCCTCATAACGGTCTCTGTGATGCAAATAAAGTGTTCTGGAAGAAAAAACAGGTCTCACTTGTCTCTGATCCTCAGAGATGATAACATTTGTTTTATGCATGGGAGGATCCAGGGTCACGTAAACTGTAGAAAAAATACAGGGTTGGTTGAGGAATAGGATGTACCTTTATTTGTGACATTGTAAGAGATCTTGAGAATGAAATGAGTGTGAAACTGGGAAGAACTTGGTTTGGTTCTTGAGGAGCAGTAAAATGCTGCAGGAGTATAATATGTATGTGTATACTGGGGTGGAAACATGGGTCTGAACACATGAGACCTAGCAGAAAATGCAAAATTCTGAAAGATGAGGACAGGGTATCTTCATAATACTGTGATTTCTCCTTACCCCAGTAGCGTTGCGCATCTGTCAATTCTGAAATGACAAAAATCCATAATATTAAATATAGGCAAAGAAGTCCACATTAAAATCTATTTTCTCTCCAAAGCAGGGAAAGACTGGGGTCTATGTGAGGCAGTACACAGAAGAATGCGAGCTGAACAAGACAGCTGGCCACTCCCCATTGAATATGCCCGTGTCATCAGCACGAGACATCCATCATCCTTTGTCTCCTCTGTCCACACCCAGAAACTGAACCCTCCTCCCTGTTCAACCCACACATAACAAGAATCTCAAGCCCACCCACTTGCTCTGGCATTCCTCACCGTTAAGTACTTGCAGCATCCCTTTCAGGTCGGGAGCTTGGAACACTCTCCTTTGTTTCTTGGAGACATTTTTTGGCTTCATCAGAGTGAAGGTTTTACTCCTAAGGATGACAAAAAAAAAAAAAAGATCCCCATGCCTCTGACTTTTTGTCTCTCCAAAACCATGAACTTTTACCTATTCATCCCAGTGAGCACTTGAGTCCCCTTCCATGGACCCTTCACCTCGGAGCCAGATAAAATGTGCTTAATCCACTTTCCCAGTAGACTGCTATTTGAGCTTGGGAAAGCATTGACCACTCAGAAATACAGTTCACTCCTTTCTAAATGATAACTATCTTCTCCTTCTCAAAATCCTAAAAATCATATGAAATTATATACCCGAGTGGATTTCTTTACCATGCCAAATTTAGTAACTTGAAACACATTAATACAAGGAAAAGTCATGACATGGATGTAAATATCCAGGGATATGACAAGAAAGTGAGGTTGCAGAACCTGGCTTCTGTGTGGTTTGAGGTATATCAAGTGGGGTAATGTTGTCTGGGTAAGGCCAAGAGCTTTAAATTCTACTCCCCGGTAAGCGAGGCACCCAGAACAATATCCGAGATTTAGTCTCTGGGGAAAAAATATAACACTTGGAAAACAAGACATTATAAACACTATACTAATAGTGGTCAGAATGTCATGTGCTTGGAAGAGACTGATGTAGCCAAGTAGGTGAGCAAATTTAGACACAAAGATGATGCCCTTCCATTCTGGCTTCAAAAGTATGTGACCAAGATGGATCAGTTGTTTGCAGAAGGGTCAAGATAATCCTTGATATTCAAGTCTGTTTTTGAAAAATTAAGAGAACCATAAAGAAAGACCTTGTCTCTTCTACTGCCAGAGTAGAACCTTAAATATAAAAGAGTTGTCTCAAATTCTGGGTGCTTATGAGGCAAAGAATACATAACATTCCCATGATCAATAAATCACCAATGAAAGGCAGAAATCTAAGTTAAATACAGGCATGCTGAGTGAATAAAATTTATGAAGTCACATAGGTCTGATACATCAATATCTTATCCTTAACTGCTACTAACCCAAATTCTGAAACTTTTTTCCAAATAAATCCCCTACCACAGAATCTGGTTCATTCTCAATATTTATAGAACACTCAAACGATGGGAGGTAAATAGAAATTTAAGATAAAACTACATCTTAATTTTTCTGCCTTGAACAGTATTTTATTCTCATTAACCACCAGATAACATTAAAAGATTTAAACCTCTTGCCCTGGCCTGTTTTGCTCAGTGGTTAGAGCATTGTCCTGTGGACCAGAGAGTCCTGGGTTCGGTTCCCAGTAAGGGCATGTACCTTGGTTGCAGTTTGTCCCCAGCTCTGGTTGGGGTTGTGTGGGTGGAAGCCACTCGATGTGTCTCTCTCACATTGATGTTTGTCTCTCTCTCTCTTCCTCCCTCTCTCTCTCCGCTCTATCTGAAGATAAATGCAGAAATGTCCTTGGGTGAGGATAAAAAAATAAAAAAATATTTAAACCTCTTTTTACCGCACAAAAGACCATCTCTCGTCTTCCACACATACCTTTCCATGATGCTATTCACATCCTAGGGAGGAAAGAGAAAACACGAGTCACGAGTAAGTTCTCCTCACTTACAATGCTTCACATCCCCACAAAGCCCTTCAACTGGTGGGAATAGAGATGGTTTTAATGTGAGAGCAAATAGTAAAGACAAGACCCAGGTCAATCATTTCAGAAGGCTCATGTGAAGCTGTCAGTTTTCCTGAAATATAGAAACAACTTTGACCCTGGTAGAAGCACAGCCTGAGCTTCCAGTACCTGGAGATGAAACATATTTATGAGAAAAGCATGAGGCCCATGATATTTTCTCAAATCTCTTTTCTTGTTTCACCAACTATCTACAACTGATCTTATTTACATCCTTAAATTCAGCATGTGCATTTCTGTAATTTATTTACAAGTCTTTATTTTTATTCAATTTTGTCTCCAAAATGCAGGTGAATATAATCTCTATTAAAGAAGCTACAGGGCCCAGCCGGTGTGGCTCAGTGGATTGAGTTTTGACCCATGGACTGAGAGGTCCCGGTCCAATTCCCAGTCAAGGCACAAACCTGGGCTGCACATACCCAACAGGGGGCATTCAGGAGGCAGCTGATCCACATTTCTCTCTCACATTGATGTTTCTATCATTCCCTCCCTTCCTCGCTGTCTCAAAAATCAATAAAAACATATTTAAAATAAGAAGCCACAGGAACCAGTAACTTAGGATGTTTCCTATGTAACTTACTATTCAGCAAACAAATACCTCCTCTTTCACACACCTTTGTTCTTTTTACCAATATCCACTCAGTCGCTGTTGTAACACTACAATATTTACTGCATTTTAGTCTCTAACAAGACAGTTTAGTCCATAAAGAACTGTTTTTGGTCTTCTGAACTTCATTATCATCACAGGATTATTTTTTTTAACAGATATTCACAAATATATTTGGGCTCCTTTATTTCATGACCCCCAAAAACAAGGCAACCGCTGGGTCCACACAAACAAACAAACAAAAAATTGTTTTGCTCTCTGTCTTTGGGCCTTGTTGTATATGACAAAAAAATAAAAATAAAGAAAGAAAGAAAAGTAGATGAAGTACAGAAAAGGAATTTGGGGGATAGTTGTAACACTAATCAAAGCTTAATTCTGAAGCTCAAACACTGCCATCAGGATCTGGTCTATGTCATTCTCCAAATTCTATGCATGCCCTCTATATTGACTTTATCCTCAGTTCATAGAAAAAATATGTATCTCCTCATATAAATCGCCCCCAAAGAAGGTAAGTTGTCTTCCACTAATATAAAATATTCCAAAGTCTGCATGGATTAAGTGCCCATATTAAAAGTATCACTGTGGCCTAACCAGTGTGGCTAAGTGGTTGAGCATCAACCTATGCACCAAGAGGTCACTGGTTCAATTCTCGGTCAGGGCTTATGCCCAGGTTGTGGGCCCAATCCCCAGTGGGGGTATGCAGTAAGTGCCAATCAATGTTCTCTCTCATCGATGTTTCTCTCTCTCTCTCTCTCACTTCCTCTTCCCTGTAAAATCAATGAAGGAAAAAAAATGTTTTAAAGTATCACTGTGTTGTTCCTGAAATAATATAAAACTATGTTGGAGGCAAGTATCCATATATTACTGGAATGAATTTAGTATTAATCTGTAACAGATCATAATAAAATAAGATACATATTGTAATTTGACGAGCCACCAACACAAAAATTTAAAAATATAGTTAAACAAAATTTTATACTAGAAATATCTCTTTAACTCCAAAGAAGCTAATCAATGAGATACAGAACAACTGTAATGACAGGTAAAATAAAGAAGGTGATAACACAATATAAATTAAATAGAGCTACACTGAAAATTGTATTAAATGTTATTGTCTTAATCCACCAATTCAAAGACAGAAATTGTGGGACTAGATAAAAAACAATTTCAATTATTGCTATCTACAAGTGACATATTTTGGATTCAAAGACATAGATATGTGAAAGGAAAAAAGAGAATCTTGGACAAAATTGTAGACTAGGTAAATGCTGTGCTTGTTTCCTCCCAGAACCACTTCAAAATTATAACCATATTGTAGAATAACCACCCTTGAGAACCACATGATGACAAACTGAAGAGAACTTCTGTAACTGAGGATATAGAGAAGAAGCCACCTTGAGACTGGAAGGAGGGCAGAGACAAAACTGGCTGGTAACACACCCTTGTGTGAAGGTTAAGAAATGGGATAGCCACTCAGTCTGAGGGCTATCCTACCCACCAATGTTCCAACAGCAATAAAGGTTCAACTACAAGAGAGCACAGACAACCCAAACAGTCTATACCCCTGGAAAATTTGGTTCAGATGAACACCAAAACTGCACCACTGAGCCTCAAGGGACACCTCCTATAAAAGGCCACTCTGTCAAGACTGGGAGATGTGGCAGATATACCAAATACATAGAAATAAACTTAGGAAGGCAGCCAAAATGAGGAGACAAAGAAACATGTCCCAAATGAAAGATCAGGAAAAATATTTCAGAAAAATAACTAAACAAAATGGACGCAAGCAATTTACCAGCTGACAAATTCTAAACACTGCTCATAAGGATGCTCAATTAACTTAGGGAAATAATAAATGATCTCACTGAGAACTTCAACAAAGAGACAGGAAGCCTAAAAAAGGAGCTAGAAAACATAAAAAAGAGTCAGTGAGTAATGAAGAATACAAAGAGAGAATGTTAAAAGCAGCAAGAGAAAAGCAGCTAGTTATTTATAAGGGGCATCCATAAGATTATCGCCTAATTTCTCAACAGAAACTTTGTAGGCCAGAAGGGATTGTCATGAAATATCTAAAGTGATGACTATCAATGACCTATAACCTAGAATACTCTGTCCAGCAAAGCTATGATTTAAAATAGGCGTCATAAAGAGGTTCCCAGGTTAAAAAAAAAAAAAAAAAAAGTTGAAGGAATTCATCACCACCAAAACAGTATTATAAGAAATGTTAAAGAAATGTAAGAAAAAAAATAATAATATAAATAAGAAAATCTTTATGATGTATAAGAGATGACTAACATTATGAACCAGCTTGATTAACTGGCATCTATAAACCCTTTCACCCAATGAATGCACAACACTTTCTTTTCAAATTCATATAAAAAATTTGGACACAATATTTTAGGCCATAAAGCAAGTGTCAATATAGTTAAAAGATTGAAATAATAAAAAAAAATATGTTTTCTGATTAGAAAGGAATTAAATTTAAAATACACAGCAAAAGAAAAGTAAAAATTCACCAAGTATTAGTGAATTAAACAACACAGTTTGAAGTATTTCAAAGGTTAAGATAAGATAACAAAGAAAGCCCTGGCCAGTTTGGCTCAGCGGTTAGGGTGAATCTGAGGGATCTGGGTTTGGTTCCTGCTGGGGGCACGTACCTCAGTTGCAGTTTGTCCTCGGCTCCAGTTGGCGTTGGGTGGGTGGCGGCCAGCCGATGTGTCTCTCTCACATTGATGTTTCTCTCTCTCTCTCTCTCTCTCTTTCTCTCTCTCTTCCTCCCTCCCCTCCCTCTATCTATCTATCTATCTATCTATCTATCTATCTATCTATCTATCTATCATCTATCTATCTGGAGATGAATGCAAAGGTGTCCTCGGGTGAGGATTAAAAAAAGAAAAAGATAAAGAAAGTTGGAAAATAAGTTGAATTGAATCAAAATAGTAAATAATCTAAAAGTATGGAATATAGCTAAAACAATGCATTTATATCATTAAAAACTATTGTATCAAATCAGTAGTCAACATTCCCACTTTAAGAAACCAGAGCCCTGGCCAGTTTGGTTTAGCGGTTAGAGCGTCGACCCACGGACCAGAGAGTCCCGGGTTTGGTTCCTGTTAAGGGCATGTACCTCGGTTGTGGTTTGTCCCCGGCCCCAGTTGGGGTCATGTGGGTGGCAAGCAATCAATGTGTCTCTCTCACATCGATCTCTCTCTCTCTCTCTCTCTCTCTCTCTCTTCCCCCCTCTCTCCCTCCCACTCTATCTGAAGATAAATGCAAAAAATGTCCTCGGTGAGGATAAAAAAAAAAAAAGAAACCAGAAAAAGAACAAGTTAAACACAATACACACAGACACACACAAACACATAAACACATTCAAGTACACATGTGCATTTATACACACACACACAAAGGAAACAATATAAGTGAGAGCAGAAATCTATGATATAAAAGAATTAAATAAATAAATAACTAAAACAAAGTTTATTCTTGAAACACATCAATAAAATTAACCAAACATAAATAGTTGCCCAGAAAAAAAGCAAATCACCAAAATCAAGAATTAAAGAGGGGAGATTACTATGAGTAATATAGAAATTAAAGAGATACTAAAGGATTATATGATTAACTTCCTGTTACAAATCTGACGACTTAGAATGAACAAATTTCTACAAAGATGTATATTATCAAAAACTGACTCCAGCTCTGGCCAGTTTGGCTCAGCAGTTAGAGCGCCAGCCCACGGACTAGAGGGTCTTGGGTTCCGTTCCCACTAAGGGCACGTATCTTGGTTGCAGTTTGTCCTCGGCCCAGGTTGGGGTTGTGTGGGTGGCGACCACTTTAAAAAAGAAAAACAAACAAACAACAAAAAACAACAAACAAACAACAACAAAAAGAAACTGACTCCAGAAACGTAAAAAATCCTAAGAAAATCTAATACAAGTGAAAAACAAAATATTTAAACCTTTCCAAAAAGCAACAACCAGAGTGAAATGGTTTCACTGGAGAATCAAATAATTAAAGAATAAATAATACCAATCCTTCTCAATTGTTTATACGGAGAACAATTGTTTATTAAGAAAGAGGATAAAAATTTCAACTTATTCTATGAAGAAAAATGAAAACCTCTTGGATCACTGAGAGGTATCTGAAAAAAGGTCTAGGCTATATCACAGATACAGGAGTCTACTGAATAGAGTTTGACACAGTGGATCTACTCTCCACAGTCACTTTAGCTCTTTAATTGATACATTAATAAAAATGAGGGTATTCCCCCCCTTGTTATTCATAGATTCAATGATTCCTATAATCTCTGAAACAGATGCAGAGAAGGGTTGCTGTAAGACCAAAGGAACCTCAGTGTCACTACTAGAAACAGCACAGCCACACAGCAGAGGAGGAAACTTAATCTTCATTTTTCTCAAGTTCAAATGTGGGGGCTTACTCCCAAGTCTTACCTGTAGCATCTCTACTGGTAACCCCTGCAGCCGATGCTCCAGATCCGAGATGAGATCTTTCAACACCTGACTCTGTTGGACCAGATCACTCTCAGCATGAGCCAGGTAATTCAGAATATTTCCTTCCTCCTTCTTCAGCCTTTGCAGCTCCTTCTGCTTCTCACTCTCCAGGATTCCTGTCAGTTTTTCAAAATAATCCTGAACACATTGGCTCTCCTTTTCTATTTGATCCTTCAGGAATGACAAAGAAAGAGAGGGACTCAGGCACCAGGCAGAGGCTGGGAGCCACAAATTGAAGTATTTGATTTGGAAGTTCTCAGAAGGAAGGGAGATGAAAAGCAGGGGAACAATTTTGGGGGAGGCTGATTTTTCCTATCATTACCTCTTCAAAACCGTCTAAAATAATGGCCTCAAGTCTGCATTACTGAGGCCAACCCTAAACGAAAATGGACACCTGGGTGTGGCTCAGCTTTCACAGATTGCTCAAGGCAGTCATGCATTACTCCTGACCCCCACAACCTCACCTTCTGCCTATGGTTGAACATCAGAGCCAAAGCCATGAGCCATTAGCCTTTGTCTTCCCCTGGAAGAGTGTAAGGCTCAAAATAATGACGGAAATGAATACAAAATTCACTAGCCATCTTCACCAGTCTCTCTCTGAGAATAACTAGCCAACTAAAATCTGTGGGTTTTATGTATAACATGTTCATATCCAGCCTAACCCCTACCAGGGAAAGGATAAAGAATGTCTAATAAATCTGGATATATCAACATTCAGGAAATAAGAAGGGCTAACAACCAAGGTCCTGCCCAGATTCTTGTTGAACTCCCTCCGAGTCTCCTACCTTCCAAGAAGTTCTCTCTTCTTTGATGTCAGCTCCCCACTTGTCAGCTTTCCACTGCTCTGCCCTTAGCCTTTTCAGAGCTGCCTGGAGCTTCTCCTGTGACAGAGGGATCACACCAGGGTTAAGCTATGGGCTCTCTCCTCATAAGAGAGGATAAATGGGGAGGAAATCTGGCTGACTTCTAAAGAGACTAAAGTTTACAGAGACTGTGAAATAACAGTTAGAATCTGTGATTTGAGGAAAACCTGATGTAGTAAATGTGTTCTTTAAGACTCCAATGATAGAAGTCATGATCACCGTGTCAAGAGAGGACTGGTTCTCTTTGCCCTAGAATAAAACACTTGATTCTGTAGCAAGGAAAAAAACTTAGGTCTCAATACACCTAGCTGCCCTGTTACCCCTCCTGTCCAAAGGAAAAATGACAGCTATGCTTGGGCATAGAACCTCCATCTATTAACACAAGGTCTAAAAATATCTACTTCTGGTTTAGAGGAGTCTGCTCATCATTTGCGTGGAATGCACAGAAATGTCCTTCAGGCCTTAGAAGGTGAGTATTGGAAGAAACATGATCACAGGGTTCATGTTTATGGTGGCAAGATAATTAGAGTTAAAAGCAAAGTTGGGATTTTTCATCAAGCACTATTTTCTGCCCTGTCTTTCCTGCATCCTGGTCTGTTACCTTGTACTCCTGAGCAACCTCCTCCATGAGGAATGTGTGGTGACCACGGTGCTCTTGAGACCGCTCACAAAGCCAGCAAATGAATTTCCCATCCTCCTTACAGAACAGCAAGAGTTTCTCTCCATGGCGCACGCAGAGATTTATCTTTTGCTCCTTCTTTGGGCTCAACTTGACATTCCTAAGCGTCTCCACTATATTGGCCAAATGCCGATTAGGCCGCAGGTTCCCAGGCTGGTAACTTAGCCTGCACACTGGGCAGTGGCTCTCTCCTTCCTGGCCCATCATGGACTCCTTGTTGTTGGCAGTGATGCAGTTTTGACAGAAGCTGTGTCCACAGTCCAGGCTCAGGGGTTCTTTTAGGAGCTCCAGGCAAATGGGGCAGGTCACCTCCTCCTCTATGTTCTCCAGGACTCCTGAAGCCATTGCAGCTGCTCCCCTGTTCCTACCTGTTCTGATCTGAGGCTTCTCTTGCTCACCAATCTCTGCCTGTTTGGAAAGGTTAAAAGGAAGCAGAGTTAAAACAGTAGGAATGTCAGCAATTGTGTAGAAATCAAGGATGGGGCAAGAACAAATATAGAAGGACAAAAAACAAAAGGTAGAGAGACAAGGAAAGAAGTAAGGGACTTGGTAAAAAGAACTTCTTATAACAATTTAAAATACTTTTCGTTAATCTGACATGAAAAATTTCATTTTTTTCTGTGCAATGGCTGTTATTGTCCTTTATGTTTACTGAACAAATTGAGGACCTGAGGCCTTTTCTACCAATAAAAGATGTTTGTGTGACCTACCATCTCTCTGGCTTCTTCTTTCCTATGCCAAACACATCCTCAATGATAAAAGTACCAAACCACATATGGGTCTCATATGCAGTGCTGTCCCTTGTATCAGTAGGACTCACTCTAATCCTCCTTATGTGTTCCTTTATCAGGAAGACCTGCTCTGATTTGCTTATTTACAGTGTAACTATTGCCATGAGTTGGTGTATGTTTGAAATGATTTCTCTTATTATCATGGCATTATATGTGACAATGTTTGCGTAAATGGCAAGAGCAAACCTTTGATCAGAAGTGTACATCAAGTTAGTGAGTCACTTACAAAGATCATTTTCTTCAGCACACAGTTGCGATAAGCCTAATGCACTCAGGGTCCCCCTTTAGAGGTACGTTCCTATATTACTAAGTTAATCAAACACAAAATAGTAAACTTAGGAGGTTCTGTGGAATCTTGTGTTGATAAATGGTAAAATGTCACTTTTGCCTGGAAATATGCCAAGGACATTGATGAGAGCCTAAAGCTGTGTATGTATGTTGATGATTGGGAGGGTGATAGCATAAACAAACACATAGAATCACACAAGTCACATACCTGAAGTAATAGAAACACAGATGAAATGGATATCAGTCTTGCAAAAAAAAAATCTCAAAATATTAGGCAAGACCATTTCACTAAATTTTAATCACTATGAATTACATGCTATCAAATTAACTAGTACCCATAAACACAAAAATGATTATAAATGGAAAGCTTAAACCACTATGACCTTGACATTCAGCTGGAAAGTAACAGTAAATTAAATCATCAGCCATATATATAAATAAAAAAATAGCTACAAATAAGTAACTATCAATAATAACTTTAAATATAAATGCAGTAAATTAAATCATCAGCCATATATATAAATAAAAAAATGGCTACAAATAAGTAACTATCAATAATAACTTTAAATATAAATGCAGTAAATTAAATCATCAGCCATATATATAAATAAAAAAATGGCTACAAATAAGTAACTATCAATAATAACTTTAAATATAAATGGCTTAAATGCTCTATCAAAAGACATAGGGTAGCTGGTTGGATAAGAAAGCATGACCCATAGTCCTGGCCAGTTTGGCTCAACGGTTGGAGCGTCGGCCTGCAGACCAGAGAGTACCGGGTTTGGTTCCCGCTAGGGGCACATACCAAAAAAAAGAAAAAGAAAAAAGAAAAGAAAGCATGACCCATATATATACTGTCTACAAGAGACCCACCACAGAACAAAATATTCACACAGGATGAAAATGAAGGGATGGGAAAAAATTTTCCAAGCAAATGAAAATGAAAAACAGATGGTGTAGCTATACTAATATCTGATAAAATATACTTCAAAATGAAGGCCATAGCAAGAGACAAAGACAGGCACTACATAATATTTAAAAGATCGATCCAAAAGGAGGATATAACCCTGGTAAACATATATGCACCTGATAGAGGAGCACCAAAATATTAAAAGACTGCTGGAAGACTTTAAGTGAGAGATTGACAATACAATCAAAGTAGGGGACTTTCACACCCCACTGACATCACTGGATAGATCTTCTAGCCAAAGTATCAACAAGAAAACAGAAACCCTAAAGGTCACACTAGATCAGATGGATTTAGTTGATAATTATAGAACATTTCACCCTAAAGCTTCTTCTCAAGTGCACATGAGACATTCTCAAAGATAGACCACATTTTAGGACACAAAGTAAGTCTTTACTAGTTCAAGAAGACTGAAATCATATCAAGCATGTTTTTGCATCACAGTGGCACGAAAATAGAAATCCATTACAATAAAAACACTCAAAATCATTCAAACACATGGAAGCTAAATAGCATGCTATTAAAACATGAATGGGTTACCAAAGAGATCAAGGAAAAAATAAACTTCCTGGAAACAAATAAAAATGAACAAAAAACAATGGAAGTATATACCATGTTCATAGACTGGAAGAACCAACATAATTAAAATGTCCATACTACCAAGCAATCTAGAGATTAAATGAATCCCTATTAAAAGACCAACAGCATACTTCACAGAGCTAGAACAAATACAACAAAAGTGTATATGGAATCAAAAATAGCCACAGCAATCTTGAAAAAGAAGAACAACGTTGGAGAGATCACCATTCTGGATATCAGGTTATACTACAAACCACTGTAATCAAAACAGCCTGGTATTGGCAATAAAAACAGTCATATAGATCAATGGAACAGAACAGAGCATGCAAAAATTGACCGAAGACATTATACTTAATTAATATTTGACAAAGGATGCAAGAGCATACAATGAGGTAAAGACAGTGTCTTCAATACATGGTGCTGGGAAAATTGGACAGCTACACGCAAAAAATGAAACTCAACCACCAACTTACACCATACACAAGAATAAACTCAAAATGGATAGAAGACTTAAATATAAGTCATGAAACCACAAAAATCCTAGAAGAAAATGCAGGCAGTAAAACTGTAGACATCACACGAAGCAGAATTTTCACTGATGCATTGCCTAGGGCAAGAGAAACAAAGAAAAACAATTAATAAATGAACTACATCAAACTAAAAAGTTTCTGCACAGCAAAAGAAACCAGCATCAAGATGAAAAGGGATGCCCTGACTGGCGTGACTCAGTAATTAGAGTGTTGGCCTGCATACCAAAAGGTTGCGGGTTCAATTTCCATTCAAGGGCATATACCTGGGTTGCAGGTTCGATCTCCACCCTGACTGTGGCATGTGGGAGGCAACCAATTGATGTAAGATGGAAAAAATATCTTCAGGTGAGGATTTAAAAAAGAAAATAGGTTTAAAAAAAGGGGATGCAAAGAGAACCCACTGTATGGGAGAACATAATTGCCAATGATACATCAAATAAGGGGTTAATTTCCAAAAAATATAGAGTAATCATACAACTCAACAAAGGGAAGATAAACAATCCATTAAAAAGTAGGCAGAGGACCTGAATAGACACCTCTCCAAACAGAACATACAAATAGCCAAGAGATGTGAAAAAAGGCTCAACATTACTAATCATTAGAAAGATGCAAATTAAAATGACTATGAGTTATGACCTCACAGTTACAAGAATGGCTGCTATCAACACATCATCAAACAACAAGTGCTGGCAAGGAAGTGGAGAAAAGGGGACTCTAGTACACTGCTGGTGGGAATGCAGACTGGTGCAGCCACTATGGAAAACAATATGGTGTTTCCTCAAAAAATTAAAAATGGATCTGCTATTTTACCCAGTGATCCCACTTCTGAGAATATGTCCTAAGAAGCCTGAAACAGCAATCAGAAAGAATTTCTGCACCCCTAGGTTCATAGTAGCACTATTAACAATAGCTAAAATCTGGAAACAGCCCAAGTGTCTGTCAGTAGATCAGTGGATAAAAAAGTTGTGGTACATTTACACAATGGAATACTATGCAGCTGTAAGAAAGAAAGACCTCTTACCCTTTGAGATGACATGGAGGGATCTGGGGAGTATTATGCTAAGCAAAATAAGCCAGTCAGAGAAAGACAAGAATCACGTTATTTGTGGACTATAATGAACGAAATAAGCTGACAAACACAATAGATTCATAGTCATGGAAGTAGGGAACATACTGACAAACCTCAGAGGGAAGGGGGTAGGGGTAAGAGAAGAAATAGACCAAAGAACTGATATGCGCATATGCATAACCAATGGATTGGTGAAGGTGGTGTGTGGGGTGGGAGTTGGGAGGTAGGTGTCATTGGGGGGGGGGGGGATAGAGGGACATATGTAATACTTTCAACAATAAAGACAAATTAAAAAAAAATAAATCATCAGCCATATATATACAAACAAGCGGATGTGAAAAGTGCTACTAGAGAGCTGTGCATGCAATTGGGATATCAAACAATGGGTGCAGATAAACGATGGTGCAGTAATTCCAACTTGAAAACATAAGGGTTGAACTGAAAGCTGAAGATGAAGTAAATATGGCATAGCAAAGATATAAAAAAATTGTTATCAGCTAGAGAAAATTACTTGTTCATGGAAGATGCACGCCCTTGTCTGAGTTTGGAATTGCCAGTGTGGCTGGTGTGAGAAAACTGCTAGGCCTTTGGTATCACACAAGCCTGCAGTGACCATGACACATGGCACTTCCTCAGTTATGTAACATTTAGGGACACTTTCTCAAGAGCAAAACACACTGCCAGTGTTGAAATGTGGAATGTTAGATGGATCCAGTGGGGAATTGAGAAGATGAATAGGATGAGTGCACAGTTGCCCAGGGGAGAGATGATGATAGCTTCCAGGACAAGGAGATGAAGAAAATGGAGAGCAGATGATGAGAGAGAGACACTGGATGAGGTAAGAGGAAAGGACTGGCGGTTCTATTATACACCTGAGAACAACGGTTCAATAGGCCTGGCTCTGTCTTCCCCTAAAGGTAATATTGGCTTACTCTTCTAATACGTTGGGTTTTGTTTTTGTTTTCTGGAAAATTCATGAGGCTACGATAAAGTGGAAGGTCAGCTGCCTTCAAGACCATATTGCTGATAGCAAAATTAGCCTGATGTGGAAAGAGTAGGAGGATTTCATATAGACCTCAAATGACAGTTAATAAGCTTAGACTTCATTTTTTGTAAGGAGAATGTGACTTTTATAACCAACTGTGTCCCTTTTAGGCCCTTGGGCACCATGCTATGGGCTTTCACTGGATAATTAGCGCTCTGTAACTCTGGGCATCTATAACTTATGGTGATTTCACACACATCCACTAAGTCTGTTTTTTTTGTGTGTTTTTTTTTTTACTTCACTGATTTGAGAGAGAGAGGGGAAGGGAGAGAGAGAGAGAGAGAGAGAAACATAGATGAGAGAGAACATCAATTGGCTGCCTCCTACATGTCCCCCACTGCAGATTTGGCCCACACATGGGCATAGGAATCAAACTGGCAGCCTCTTGATGCATGGGTCAATGCTCAACCACTGAGTCACACTGGCCGGGCACTAAGTCTGGCTTTTTAAGAGGCTGAGATAACAGGAATAAACTACCTTCTATAGCACTATGAAGACCATCACTAAGAACTCACCTAAGGCAGCCAAGATCAGCATGCTGGTCTCCTGAACTGTATCCTTAGCTAAGCTAATTTACCCTGGGAGTTTATATCTTATCAGGTCAAATGAAACAGAATGAACATCCAAATTGAAGGTGATGATGGTGATCAGTCAGAGAGGGTATCACAGAGTGGTGACACAGTGATACTCATTCTCCCACCTGGACTCAGTATAGCCCTGTGGCCACAGTCCAGGCTCAGGAATTCTTGAAGAAGTTCCAGGTAAGCAGGACAATGAAGCAATAAACAAAGAAAAGAAAAGAAAAAAAGAGATCTCATTAGATATTCATGCCTTGATTGTTGCCAAAGTTTGATGATAAAAGAAAGATCTGAAGTATGAGATAATAAGTTTTCCCATTGCTAGGTGCTTGAAAGGCAAAAGTTGCAAAGGCTGCATAGGGATGGATTTAGACCCACTAACACTGTGCACTGGTGCCATGTTCTTGCCTGAAGGGAAATTGATAAGAAATGATGCTGAAGGAGAAGAAGTGTATTCCAGATACTTGTCCATATAATGAAAACAGCCCAGAGGGCATATGCAGTTAGCCCCTGGATGCAGAAACTGCGGTCCAGTTCAAGCTCTGATGAACAGCAAGCAAAAATACACAGTGTATCAGGGGTAGATACTAAATTATATCTATGTTTGAATCATGCTGGTGTCATAAAACAGGGGTAGAAACTAAATGATATTACCACTGTTTTATGACACAGCATGATCCAAACATGGGTAGTAACCTACAATGATTTCTCATCCATCCAACCAATCCTGAGACCCACGAAGAACCTACGGAAGGAGGAGAAAAGCATGTATTCTGCCTTGGGGCTGCGAAATTGATTTTCACAGGGGGATGACCAGGAGCTAAGGTCAGAGCAGCTGCTGCCACAAGACTCAGAAGAGAACAGTGCAGTGGAAATCGAGTCCTCACACATGGAGGTCACCCCACCACCACCTAAGCAGTGACCCCAGGGCTCCACAGCAGCAGCGAGATACATATGGGAACATGAGTAGAAGCTGCGCTGGAGGGATTTCACAAATACCTACCCTATCCTGGAGGACCTCTGGGTTTGTGCCCCCCATCAGACTCCCTAACTCTGGGGAGCTGTGCAAGAGAGCAGAGCCCACAAAAATGTACAAAAAACAACAAGGCTCTGCCCAGGAAAACATTAGTGGTGTAGGGAACAGGAGATTCCTCTCTTAAAGGGCTCCCACACAGGACTTACAGGACTTGCCCCAGGACCCAGTGCAACAGCAGAAGTTTGAAAAACGCCTACTTAGAGCAGGTGTGGAGATTTATCTCCTGCAGAAGTGTTAGCCTGCTGGACTTTCACTTGAAGCAGAAACTTGAGGGTGGGGCGACATCGGTGCTCCGCCCCCTACCTTGCAGCTGGCACAGGGCTGAATCTCCCTCTAACCGGTCAGAGCTCCTGGGTGTGCCCCACCCCCTGCAGCTGCTCAACCTGAGCTGACTGAGGAGGGCCAGGGCCCCAGACCCCTCTCGGCACCATCACCCCTGCCCCACCATCCTGAGTCACTGGAGTGGCCTCTGCCACCACGGCCCAGCCCCAGCCAGCAGCCCTCAGAGGGGCACCCCTTGGGTCCCTGGCTCTGGTGGCTGGGGTGGAAGGAGGTGCGTTTCTGACCCCAGTGTCGGAAACAACGGAAAACGCAGTTCTTGGCAGCTACCGCCGCCCAGGCACCGCACAGAGAGCAGAAGAAACTCACCCCCAGTATCCCGGGGAAAAGGCCTATTCACTTGTTTTGGAGTTCAGGGTGAGGGGTTCACTCTCCATTCCCTCTCCAAACCAGAGGCCGGAGGGCCAGCCGCAGAGAGGATCCGGAGGAGCAGAGGGAAAATGAAAGTTACATTCTTAGGGGAGGGGCAGGGAAGGAGAGAATCTGTGGGCCAATGGGAGGCCTTCCCAGGGGCCCCTGGGAAATACCCAGACTGTGTGCCTGGGTCAGAGGGGTCAGTGAGGATGTTCTTGATCTCAATTCTGCTCCAGGAAGCTGTTCTGCGGTTCTCAGGGCTCCCAAAGTAGTTCATCCTTTGCAGAGCTAGGATTGCCTGAGCTCTGCAATTTCACACACACCTACCTCATCTTGTTCCCTTACAAATGAGATGTCACGGGAGGAAAAGAAATACCTCCTTTACCACAGTCAGGACCCTCCCTGAAGGCTCCCCAGGGGCAGTGATCCTGGCCGCTCCCTCCTGTCCTGGATCTACCAGCTAAGCTAAGTGAGTCTGTGTCCTGTTAGCCACGTGAGCCGGACGGGCTGCCCACATCTGAAATGTCCTCAGATGGTCAGCCAGAGGCGCTCTCCCAGAGTGGTGGCACCTGATGCTGACTGTCAGAACGTGGATTCAAAGGACAAGATGACAGTTTTCCTAAATGAAGGGCAAAGGTCAAACTACATGAAGTGGCAATGTCATCTAATACTATTTGACATATAATCTCTATAGTCCTAACATTAAAAAAAAAAAAAATTAAAGGGAAAAGTAATTGTGAAAGATAATTTTACGAGTCAATGTGACTAGCCACAGGGTGCCAGGATTAAGCATTATTTCTGGGTTTGTTTCTAAATGAGATTGGCCTTTAGATCTGTGGACTCAATTACATAGATTGGGGCCTGAGCAGAGTAAAGAGACAAAGGAAGAGAGAAAGAATGTGGTGGTTTTCTTCCTGTCTGACTGCTTGAGCTGGGATATACGTTTTCTCCTGCCCTTGGATTAGGACTTAGGCCATTGACTATGTTGGTTCTCAAGCTTGGAACTTGGATAAAATTACACCATCAGCTTTCCTGAGTCTCCAACTTGTAAACAGCAGAGCCAGGAACTATTCCAATGCTATAATCACATCAGTCAATTCCTGATAATCAATCTCCTTCACATATATGAAGAATCTATAAAATGTTGGTTCTGTTTCTCTGGAGAACCCTGACTAATAAAGTATGAGATGATTCTAAAATCATGTGTTAAGTGGCACAGGTGGAATGTGATATGATAATGATAATGACACTTGTGAACGGTGCAATTTCAAAACATGTGAGCCTACACATGACCTGGGGCACTTAAGTTACAAGGAGAATGTTGTAGAGGTGAGAATGCATGAAGTCGTCCTTCATTCAGTAAGAGTATGTCCGATAAGGAGAAGCCAAAGTGAAGGGAAAAAAAAGGTCTCGACTGTATCTACATCTGAGTCAGTCAGTCTGGGATGCAGTGATGTCTTTACCAGGAGAGGTGATTGAATGAATGAATGAATGAATGAAAAAATGAATAAATAGGCACTCTTACCTTAGCTCTCTTTTCTCAGGATTCTTAGGGTCTTGACAGAATACTTCTTGTGGTATTTCTTCTGACTATTGACACTAATCAGCATTATGTTATATAAAAAGTTGTAAAGATGCCCTCTATGGAAATTATTTCTATGTGCTTCTCCTGCTTCTGATCTCTCAGATGAGCTCTTTCTAGGTGACAGATATGGTCCAAGAATAAGATGAGCACGATTAGTGATTTTTCAGGAATTGCAGTAGATCCGTGAGTTTGAACTTAGAAATCATGTGAGACTAGTAAATACAAAAGAATCTACAGAGCAGGGCTGCTGTCACACTGCTAAGGCTCACAAACCGAGAGAGGACAGAGTGCTAGGAATTCATGAGAACAGACATGATGACATCCTACAAGGTGTTAGATCATAAAAGCTTCAAAGAACTCTGTGGCCTTCTGTTTTCTTTCCCAAAGTATCTCCTATATCCCTAAGCAGGGTCAGGCATAACTCTCTTTTCTACTGGTCTGTGCAGAACTGGTCCAGAGCCTGGGCTGTGCCACAGGGAGACTCCACAGGCTCTTCTTTAAGGCTTTCTTTGCAAGGATTTTTTCAGGACCTCATTTCTGGAACAATGATTACTCATAAAGGCCACAACTCAGTGTACCCCAAGTTAGAAAATGTAAAGGCATGAGTGGAAGGCAATAAGGAGACTGCAGTGGGGAGCCTAGTCTTATGCTGTCGTCAGTGATCTCCAGCACACCCCACCTTGCACCTACAGCTGCCGTTTCATGAGATCAGGTAGGGACTATTCTCTTTTGGTGCTTATGCCTCATATCTATTAAAAGGTGTTTCATTGGTGGAGTGATAAGTAGATATATAGATATATCACTGTATATATATAATTTTAACTGACTTGAGCATCTAGGTGATAAATCATGCTTCTAATATACTGTTCCTGCTGTGAACAAAATTTATGTGTTACATAATGAAATCAGCTCTTCTTCTGGTATTATTAACATATCTATGTTTTTCCTTTGACAAATTTACCCAACAATTTCTCATGTCTTCTGTTTTCTTCCTAAAGTTTGCTCACAATTGTGTTTACTATGTCTCCACTTTAACCACATTAATGTTTACTTTGCCCCAAGGATTTCTCAAATGGGAAAATGTTAAGAATTCATAGGCCAAAGGGAAGATATTTCATCACATTCCTCTATAAGCAAGAAATGTCATGACTGGTGTGGAAATGCAGAGCACCAATGAGGATTCATTTTCCCTGCAACCCAGAACAGAATGCGCTGGAATGTGGAGCATGCCCACATCCTCAGCTCTGGTGAGAAAGTGTATGGGGCGAGAGGAGCATGGCAGGTTCGCGTTTCCTACTGGCTTAAGCATTCGCGTTTCTTGACAGGACATGATTTTCTCAGTTGAAAATCTTATGCTTCATAGGAGAATTCGAAGATATCAACCAAGGATGTGGGTCAGTTCATAGATTGAAAGTGAGAGGACTAAAATGATGGATATTTAATCTGTAAAGGATTGGAAAAGAAAGAAGTAACGGATAGAGGAGGAATCTTTGGCTAAGGGAGCTCATTTCTTTTGAACACTGGAGTCAATACCCCTATGTTGTGCCTGCCAGTCATGCAGGCACACTCTGAGCTTTCCAAAAACCCTCCAGGTTTTTCATATAATATCGCTAAAACTACACGTATTCTTAGTGTCTGCATTAACCACCATGCTCCATGGCATCATTGCCCTCTTCTGGAGCTAAGTGGAAATGCAATACGACCACTTGCAAAGAAATCTGGCATGTTGTTTGTATAAGACACCAAAGTCCAGTAATTCTATTGACAGCTAATAATACGCAAAGCAAACAAAAGCGAGGTTCCATTTTCACTAGTGGAGATACTCATTTCAGCAAACAGCCTCCTTAATCTATAGATAAACATTATAAGCCCTGACACACCATATATACTATATAGACAGAGAGGGAGAGAGGGGGAGAGAAGGAGAGAGAGAGAGAGAGAGAGAGAGAGAGAGAGAGAGAGAGAGAGAGAACTGAACAGGAAGGCACTAGAGTGTGAGAAAGGCAGTCAGAGTCTATAGTGTACAGACAAATAGACACTTGGACAGAGGAAACAATGTTGAAGGATTTTCCTAGTTTATGATTTTTTTTTTTTTTTTTGAAGACAGACATCAATCAGTAATGGGTGGACAGTTAAAGCTCAGTTTGCAACATACAGACTTAATGGCTGGAAGAGTAAGATAATTTTGGGTTACTGCAGCAGCTGGAAAGTGTTAGAACATCTTTAAAAGAGCGACCAGTGGAAGAAATTGCAATTTGTACATAAAAATTGTGATCAAAACTCTGAACTACACATATTTGAGATAAATGACAAGCCAAATTAGGGTAATGGACATGATCACAGATTTTAGCTCCTGCAAATGCAGGAAAAATTTAGAATTTAAAATCAACAAAGTTAAACCACTGGAAACACACACACACACACACACACACACGAACAATAATTTAGAAAATCAACAAGATCAAGAGTTTCTACATCTCGTTCACAGTTCCCTTGAGGGAATTGTAGATGCCATCTAAAATTATTCTACATACGAAAACAGTAGGAGACATGGCCCATCTTCAGTAGAAGGGCAATCAACAAAGACCAGCTCTGAAAGAATCCAAATGTTGTATTTAGTAAACAAGGACTTCACAGAAGCCATTATATGTAGGGTGAAAGATGTAGAAGAAAATATGCTTATAATAACTACCAAATAGGAAATGTCAGAAGTGAAATAAAAACAGTTTTTATATTTAATTGAAATATTAAAACTACAAACTGCAAACTGCAATCACCCAAAAAGCAAATCCAGGTTGGCTTATGAGAAGGTCAGAATCACAGTAGAAAGATTAACTAAAATTAAATATAGCTTAATAGAAATCTGATATGAAAATAATGAACATATCCTCAATAATCTGGAAATATCAAAGTAATAACATAGGCTTAACCCACAGAGCAACTGCTAACATACAACAGTAATAAAATATAAAGCTCATTTAAATGATAATCAAAAGGATAAACATTGTATGTTCACTTCAATGTATGCAGAAAAGCATCACACAAAATTCAATGCCTGATCGTTCTAATAATAAATTAGGACTATCAATCTTGTAAAAAAAAAATAATAATAATAAGAGCCTACAGTTAACATCATATTCAGTGGTCAAATATTGAATAAATTCTATCTATGATTAGAAACATTTCAAGAAACATGTCAACACTCACACTTTATTGGCAGAATTGGACTGCAAACCCTAACCCAAAAAATAAGGAAAGAAAAATGAATAAAAACACAAATATTAGAGAAGAAATGAAACAGTCTTTAATTGCAGATGATATAAGAATTTATGTAGAAAATCAAAATAAATTTAGAGAAACTTACTAAAATTATTAAAGTAAATTAAGCCAAGTCATAGGACTCAAGACCTATATGGAAAGGCAATTAATTTATATTTCATAAGCTAGTAATTAATGAATAGAAAATTAAATTATTCATTTCTTTAAAATAATATCCAAAAACAAACTTTCCTGAGAAGATAATCAATACCTCACTTTCCATGCCAGGGCGATTAAATGAGTCACCTGGCTGGGAGGGCTCACAGCACAGGGAGGGTTGGGGGAGTTACTGTATGTGTGATATCAAAAACAGGTCTATGATTGAACAACATGAAGAGATTAGGAGTCCACATCAATAGACTTCCCATCATGAATGTTGGGCAAAATGGATGATCATTGGAATCCAATATCATCAGATCAAGTGTCTCTATACTAAAAGGGATTATCAGGTTCCCAAGATTTTGAAACTCTGTTTTACAATTTATGATAGCTCTAGGTACTACTGCCTGCTCTCTTCCCATGGATGAACCTGCAGGGTGAAACCTGCTTATTCCCGAAATACTAATTGACCCTTCACCTTCAAATTTGTATTTTGGACACCTATCTCCCAAATTAATGTCCCAGCCCTATGCTAAGGCCCCAAACATATGAGTATTTGTCACTCAGAGGTTCAGAGGTGAGAGAGAAAGAAAAACCCTAGATCTGATTTTTGGATCATGAGAAAATCTGCACTTGATGCCCAATGGATTTTTTTATTTGGAGTCCAGAGTCCCTTCTCAGGACATTTGCTGAGAAGCAGCAATGTAAGTAAAGCTACATACAGGCTTCATACTCTGGGAGAATGGGTGCTGTTTTTCCCATTTTTCTAAAGATATCTCAGTGTGAAGAACTTTTCCTTTGTGTTTGCTAACTCGAGTACTTTTTCTGCGACTTGTTTCACATCTTAACCTGGAACCCTGAACATCCCAGGGGACAAAAATCCATGAATATGGTTGGAGAGATAAGAATTGTGTAAGTCCACAGAGTACACATTTTTCTTAGTGAGTTATGGCTTCAGTCATTGTGGTGATAGGGTGAGAGGAGAAGAGAGGTCAAAGGGAGTATGGATAAGAATCAATCAGATTCCCCCACTGTCCCTGAGAGAGGAGTGTGTGTGTGTGTGTGTGTGTGTGTGTGTGTGTGTGTGTAGTGGGAAGAAGAGAGAGAGAGGCTGGAGGTATCTAACTTGGAAATCTTCTCCTACCACAGGTTTTCCAGAAATGAGGGAACTGAAGAATTTCTTGTGAGAAAGGGACCAGAGCAGACACTGACCACATAGCCCAGTATTCCTATTTCTCTTGGCTAATAAGTGGGGTGGGGAGAGTGGGAAGTGGAAATACCAGAGACACGTGCTGCAAGAACACTCACTCCTGTAGCACCTACCCTGCTGTCTCACTGGAGAAGAGGCTTTGCCCACTCCTGAGGACACCTGCAGCCATTCAGCTCCCTGGAAAGAGTGGGGCTGACCAGGAAAGGGACACCTTGACCTATGTATGCTGTTGCTGAGGAGCCCACACAGAACGCCTGACCCTGCCTCTGTCACTGTACGTCATAATGTGAACCAACTCCTGAAACAGGAGACATACCTGGGCAAACAGAGAAAAGGCCTTCTAATGAAAGGGAATGTCTATGGAAATAGAAAATAAGATCAAATCAATTTTTATCTAGTATAGTCACTTAGATTTAAAAAACCATTCCAGTACTTAAAGCAAAAGACTAGGTAGCAACAAATAAAGTAAAACATTCTTTAAGTTTTAATAATCATAAAGAAATGATTACTAAATGCACAGTAAGTATAGTTAACTATAGGCAGGAGGTTATACAGTAGACCTCTAGAATTTATTCATCTTGCAAACCTGAAAGTTTAAACCTGCTTAACTGCAATGCCTAAAAAATTTTAAATGTTTAATTTTACAGTAAGGGTTTTTACCACAATAAAAAAGACAATATAATTGATAACAAACTGTTAAATAGCAAATTCAAAGGGAATGTTTAGAGAATACATGACAACTTAGAATTTTATACTAGAAAACTGAGTATAAAATAAAGTATATTTGAAATTTTAAAAAACAGGCTATTTATCATGCAAATAGATGAGATTAAAAATGATGTGGTTCCTTAATCAACTTATTCCACTTCAAAGCACAACTAAGGTACTAATATTTGAATTTGATTAATATTCATTCTTATCATTCACTACTTGAAATCACAGAGAAAATGAATCAACACCAATCTGGACCACTGTTTATGTGCTAGGAAATGAGAAAGTTAATGCAAACATTCTATTTGTTAATTTTCACAGTATTCTAAACATGTTATTCTTCGTATTTTTATTTCTGATGAGAAGTAAAATAGAATGTTTTATTTTATTCATGAATTTCTCTCTGATTTCACAGTCAAGGCTCTTAGCTGTCCAGTGTTCGCTCTCTACCACATGTCACCTGCAAGAGCACCCTGGTCATTAAGTTCAACTTGATTGTAGCCATTACCCTGAGCAGCTCCTGCTCCATTCATGGCTACGTGGCCTAAGCACATCAATCACTCTCTCTTAGCACCTAAGATTTCCCCAGGATGCTCTAGGCTCTTTCTGCAAATCAGCATCTCCTGGGTTTCCCTCCTACCTCACATCCAAGTGAATTTGGCTCCTACCTTTTCTTGGGGGATGAAGTGCAGAAAGGGCACCTGAGCTGGAGAAACACAGCTGTTTCCAGTCTCCTCTGCTCATTAGCCGTGGAACATTGGGACATACTTCATAAGTTTATAAATTCCTTTAACTCCCTAAAGGAATTCTTTCTTTTGTGATATTTTTGAAAATTAACTTGGATAATCTGCATGCATTTACGCATATAATTGTGTGTGTGTGTGTGTGTGTGTGTGTGTGTGTGTACGTATAAATGTGCATGTACATACCTTTCTTAGGCCAAATATTCTTCTTTTCATTCCACTGGGACAAGTTATTACTCTATATCTTCAAGTAGGCTCTGTGCAGTAGCATGCCCTAATTTATAATGTGTGCTTCTTCAAATAAGTTCCTTTATTATCCTGGGTAAGTCTATTCCTCATCATAATTTGAAATGATTTTAAAAATAAGGAAAAGAAAAGTGCATGGGATTGGACATGAGATGTTATACTCAGATGATAAACCAAAGGGAAAGCCCTGAACACCAAAAGGCTGTCCCTAGTAAGAACAGCTGCCCCAGACATAGCTCCCTCTGCTGGATCTTGGAAACTCATACTTTTGTGTTTTCTGACTCATTCCCAATAAGGGGCCTGAAAACAGTCCAAGCCTCTGTGTAAAAGGATCTGTAACACAAGACTGGACTGGAGTGGTCTTAACAGAAGAGTCTGGGAACTTGACAATGAGACTTCACGAGGATCATTTTCTATTCCTCTGAAGGGTACAAATCCGTTGCACAGTATACAGACACAGCTCATACTTTTCAGTCATCATGAGAACAAATATTTATTATGCTGTACAGGACCCTTTACATTGAGTGGCAATTTTACACAAAATCTTAAGAGTTGGGTACAAATTAATATCATAATTTGTGTCTCATAAAAAGAAACAAAATTTTATTTATTGTTACATGCCATGTAAAAGAAGATACAGAATTTTAACTCAAACACTCTAAATAAAAGTTTTTATATTTTACTTTTTTTCTCCCTAAACTATCTGAATAACCTACTGTATGTTGGGTAACAAACAGACATACACTCATACGCTCCTTAGTTGGGGGTGGTGGGTGGCAGGATTATGCATTGTCCTAAGGTAAAGAAGAATATAGAGAAATGTGAAGGCAGACTTGTTATACCAATACTTCTCTGTCTTTAGAAGGGATTAGATGTCTTTCACTGAGAATACAGAAAAGGTAAATTAGTAAATAAGGTTTTTCTTTTTCTAACCCAATAAATGTTCTAAAAAAGAAGACAGCAAGGAAGAAATGGTGTGAACAGAGCAGTGAGCTCAGGTGCAGAAGATGAACCCAGGACATGGGCAGCTACACAGAAGTGGGTGAGGGAAGGAGAAGGTTCAGGAGCTTGGTGGGCACAGAGTCATGGGAGCTGGACAGTTCCAGGGATTGAAATACGGATAAGCCGTCTGAGAAAAGCGACATTTAGAGAACTTATAGATGATCGACCCATGGTTTGTGACATTAAAAAATGAGACAGTGCCTGCTTCATAGTCGAGGAAAACCCCCACTCGACAGGGAGGAACAGCCATGGAAAGAGTCAAGACCTTGGGATCAGAGGTGGAAGAGTCCTCAAAGGCACTGTACTCACATCCGTTCTGTAACCCTACCACCCAGTAGCCATTTGCAGGTCGGAATCTGGAGTAAACATTTAGATAATTTACATTTGGGTTAAGAAAAAACCCAGAGCTTTTTTTGCTATTGAGGATACTTGTGTTACTGTATACTCCCAGGACCCAGGCAATCTTCCCAGACACATCAACTTCCCAGTAATATTTCCCTGAGGAAAAATTCTGGTTTCCCAAGACATCAAAAGCAGAAAAATTACATGGATATGCACTCTGAAACATAAAACGGTTCCCAACTGTCACTTGTCTCTTATCCGCAGAAACGACAACATTCGAAAGAGCATAGAGTGGATTCAGCATCAAGTCCACTGTAAGAAAAATAACACACTTAGGTTCATTAGATAGGACGTATGTGTCTGTGACATTGTGAGAAGGAATATTGGGAGTTGACTGGGAGCAACATGAGTTAACAGGTCAGTGATGAGTAGACCATTTAAGAACTATTGTATGTATGCATGCTTGGGCGGAACAGGTGGAACTAAATCATGCGACCTAATAGTAACCACACTTCTGAAAAGGGATCAGAACATGGTGATTTGAAGAACCTGTAACTTCTTACCCCAGTGGCTTTGGACTTCTGTCAGCTCTGAAATGACAAAAGTTTCAATGATGTTGTTAGAAAGGAGGAAACTCTGATAGCTGCCTTTTCTTTTGAACAGGGGAGGGGAAGCCTGTGATGGTGATGCTATCTATTAGTGAATGAGGATACCTGGCTATTCCCACTTAGACGTGTTCACATCTTCGGCACAGGGTGTCTGTGCCTTCTTGTAAAGCCTACCTCCTCTCCCTTATCATCAAGTAGAAACAACATCCACTCCCTCACTGTGCTCTGATACTGTAAGAATCCCCCACACACTCCCCCCCCCCCCCGGTTCTCCTCACCTTTAAACGTCTGCAACATCCCACTCAGATCTGGAACTTGGAATGCAGTCTTTAGTTTTCTTGGAACGACTTTTGGCTTCTTGAAAGCCCAGATCTCACTCCTAGAAAAGACGAAAATTGATCACCCACCCTTCTTCCCTTGTGTCTCCCCAAGTTCATTGTCCCCCTTACCTTTCACTCCATTGATGCCTTCTCACAAGGAGGGACAGGTGGGATCCCTGACACTGCAACCTGAAGAAAGGTCTGTAGGTCCACCTTTCTATTTACCCTCTGTGTGACCTTGGGAAGGCCTTCTCATGAAGCTCATGTTCTTCCTTCCAAAATGGAAAAACTAACCCCATCCTCTCTACGTCTTCAAAACAATACACTATTAGGTGACGTAATGGTACCCTAGAAGTTGTTTGGCACCTCTAGTAAACAGGATTTTACATATGGAGAAGCCACTGCCGTCTGAGTGGTCCTCCAGGAAGAGGCCAGGGATGTGGATCCCCAGGCAGATGCTGAGCGGGGAGGCTCTGGAACCTGGCTACTGAGAGCTTTTGGTTATCAAGTGTGGGGCTTCTGTACTGAAAGTCTGAAGTATTTGCTAAGCCTATTATCCCAGTACAGCTGCTGAGTAAAACATATACGTTCACATTTTCTGGGGAAACATTGCAAATATTTGGAAAAGAAGAAGTTAAGACATCCAAATTAATAGTGGTCTGAACTTCACGTGCTTGATGCTGCCAAGCGGGTGGGTAGGCAACCTCAGGCAAAAAAAAAAAAAAAGCCATTTTTTCTACAAAATGCTAACGTGCATAAACAAAAAAAGATTTATTATTGGCACCAGGACTAAAGCCATTATTCCCTGAGACTTGAGTCTTATTTATTTATTGCAACAAACAACAACAACAGCAACAAAACATCACCTAGAATGACTTTGTATTTTCTATTCTCGGGAAGAAATGGAAATGTAAAGAAACTGTCTTTGTGGAAAATTTGGGGGCCTGGCAGATAGAAAGAACAAGATCCTCCATGTGATAAGACAGGTACCTGTGAAGTGCGGGAACAAGGGCTGAGGCAGAGAGTAAAGTTTGACTAAAATGAATGAAGTCATATGGTTTTGCTACTGCAACCTCTTATTTCTAATGTTTCTATTGTCCCTAATTCTGTGACCTCCCATTACCCAAATTTGCTACCATTAAAAAGTGTCACCTGTGGCCCTGACCATTTGGGCTCAGCAGTTTGAGTGTCAGCCCGTCGACCAAATGGTCACAGATTCGATTCCCGGTCAAGGGCATGTACCTGGGTTGCAGGTTTGATTTCGGGCCCCAGTCAGGATCATGCAGGAGGCAACCATCGATGTGTCTCCTCTTTTTCTCTCTCTCTCTCCCTCCCTTTTACTCTCATCTAAAAAGCAATGGAAAAAAATATCCTCGGTTGAAGATTAACAACAACAACAACAAAAAGTTTCACCTGTTATCAGCAATTTGAAACAATGTATACCCAAGTTTCCAGGTCTGTGATTTTTTAAAATTATGATTGATTCAAAATTACTCTTATAGCTATAATTCTGTCATCACACACAAAAAGGACTATGCCTGGTCCCACATACATACCTTCTTATGACGTTAATCACATCCTGGGGAGAAGAGAAAAACATAAGTCAAGTGCAAGGTTACCAGATTTAGAAAATTGAAATGACTAGTTAAAATGTAATTTTGGAAAAATCACAAGTATATTTTACTACAAGCATGAATTCCGCAATATTTAAGATACTCTTCTGCTAAAAAATAAAGTGTCATTTATCTGAAATTCAAATATAACTACACAGCCCTGGCCGGTTTGGCTCAGCGGTTAGAGCGTCGGCCTGCGGTCCTGAGAGACCCGGGTTCGGTTCCCGCTAAGGGCGCGTACTTCGGTTGCAGTTTGTCCCCGGCCCTGGTCGGTCGTGCGGGTGGCAGCCACTCGATGTGTTCCTTTCACGTTGATGTTTCTCTCTCTCTCTCTGTTCCTCTCTCTCCCTCCCACTCTACCTGAACAAGAAATGAAAAAATGTCCTCGGGTGAGGATAAAAAAAAAAATATATATATATATATAACTACACATCCCTTGATTTGTCTGGCAACCCTTGAAGGAGTGATAAGCTTTCCTGCCTTGTAATATTTTACTCACCTTTCTCCTCACACCCCAGCACCCCTTGATATGGTGTGAATAAATAGATGGTCAAAACAAATAGATGGCAGAAATACTGTAGAGATAAGACCCAGGCCGACCATCCCAGAGGACTCATGTGAGGATGTTAGAAAGATGCTTCCAGGATCTGGAGATGGAATATATTTAAAAGGAAGAGAGGAGTCCAGCCAGTGTAGCTCAGTGAATTGAGCATCGTCCCATGGACTGAGAGGTCCTGGTTGGATTCCTGGTCAGGGCCCATGCCCAGTTTCAGGCTTGATCCCCAGCAGGGGGCGTGCAGGAGGCAGCCAATAGATGTTTCTCACATTGATGTTTCTGTCTCTCTCCCTCTTTCTCTAAAAAAAAAAAATCAATAAAAGTATATTTGAAACAAAAATAAATGAATGAATAAATAAATAAATAAAAGGAAGAGAAGAGGAGGTCTACTATTTCTTTAATATACATTCATGAGAAGACCCCCTTATTTCATTATACTTTTATTTTTTCTACTGACAAAGGTAAATTTATGTGTCAGACATCATTCCAGGCTCTGAAGACTCAAAGATGTATAATTACTCATTGCAGTTCTCAAGACGTATATTTTCTTTTCCTGCAGGAATAAGCAAATTAGCACTTCAAGCAAATGTTTCTCTGGCCTCCCTCTCCTTGCTCTATATACCCTCTACACACTGCCTGAAGGGAATCTCACCAGTGCGTAAGTGTGAAAGAAGCCACAGAAGCCAGAAGCAGAGAAGTGTAAAATGAAGCAGACTGTTGCCCAACCATTTACATTCCACTGTTCAGAATGGTATCAATATCTGCTTCATCACTGTCTTAAAAAATATATCTTGCCCTGGCCGGTTTGGCTCAGCAGTTAGAGCGTCGCCCTGTGTTCCAGAGAGACCTGGGTTCGGTTCCCGCTAAGGGCATGTACCTCGGTTGCAGTTTGTCCCCGGCCCTGGTTGGTCATGCGGGTGGCAGCCACTCGATGTGTCCCTTTCACATCGATGTTTCTCTCTCTCTCTCCCTCCCTCCCTCCCACTCTATCTGAACAAACATGGAAAAATGTCCTTGGGTGAGGATTATATATATATATATATATATATATATATATATATCCTTAATTGCAATATTGTATTAAGCCAGTCCAGTCCATAGCCAAAGCTTCTTTTTAGCTATCTTCTCTTCCTAGCATAACATTATTTGCTTATTTCTCTGAACAGAAATACACCAATGTATTTGGTTTGCTGTTCTTTTCTAAGTCCTTTCATGCCAACAAAGCCTTGGTCACCAGTTGGCTGTACCTCCTCAAAAATGTTTACTCTCTGTATTAGGTTTGTCATTGTTATTTTCAATGACAAAAAAAAAAAAACAAAAAAAAAACTAAAACTGGCTTAATTCAAAAGAAAATAGAAACGCAGGGAGCAGTTAGAACTTTTGTATTAGCTAGGTGTTTAGGGAAAATCTTGTCATCAGGATCTGTTCTTTCTTCTCAAAATTGTGTGTTTCGACCTGCTGTATGGATTTTCTTTTTATTCTCTATATGGCATCAACTTGAACATCCAGGTTTAAATGATAATTTCTGATATATTACCTAGAAGAAAAGGGAATTTGTATTTCTAGTCATAACAATAAAATTCTAAGGCATACAAAGCATTGCCCTGAATGGGTTAGGTGCTTATCTTATAATTGCTGCACCATTGGTAAACATACAGGAATTAAATATGCTGACTTACCTATAATTGAGAGACATACACATTCCTGACGCTACTGATTTTATCAGTTCTAATCAACTACATGGACTGAGGGTACAGATGATTCCTCAAAGGGTAATTCAAGAAGTAGTTACCAAAAACAAAAACAAAAAACAAAAAAGGAATTGAATGAGGTTGGATAGACAAACAACTGTCCTATACAGTCCATTTCTTAGCTGACTACCATATCCTCACTCTATAAAAATCCTGGCATGTTTTTAATAAAAATTAAAAATATATGGAAAATTTTTCATAGAAAATTCAGGGAGACCTAGAACAATGTTTCTGGCTCAGGCAATTGCAATGGGGTCTGCCCTATGCTTTGTAGCTAGATAAGCAGCATCCCTGGCCTCTACCCACTAGATGGCAGTAGAACTCACTAAAGGATCTCTGGGGCAGAGAGAGGTGCTTAAAATGGTCTCCATAGAAAACTACTTAGAATAGAATAGATAAGAATAGAATAGACTTAGAATAAAATTATTTTGAAATGAAATTAAATAGACTTGTTTCACTATTTTTCAAAAAGTTTTGGGGAAAAAAAAGTTGGAAGATTACCCTACCCAATTTCAAAGTTTTCTATGAAGACAGTAATAAAAAACTTGGAGTATCAGTGCAAAAATATAGAGATTCATGAAAAAGAATGATAATACAGAAATACAATAAAGCAAATTGATTCTTGAGAAAGGTGCCAAAGTAATTCAGAGGAAGGGAGAGTTTTGTGGTTTTTTTAAATGTTGAACTGAATTTGTACACGGTTTAATAACTTAATATATTTCCCACAAATCCTTGAATTGTATATTTACAATTAGATTTTTTAATGTAATTTATACCTCAAAAACATGTTTTGTTTTGTTTTAAGGAAGAAGTTTAAACATCCAGCAGGTGGAAATTGATTACTGCAGTATTGGAATCAAAGTCAAGAAATTTTTATTCAGCTAGCAAAAAAGAATGGCAAGCAGAGAAAAGCTGAAATTTCCTGAATTTCCCAATATGTTTCATAGCTTAAGATCACAGTCATGCAGTTAATTCCATGGGGAAAAAAGTAACATTAATACTAGGTACAAGCCCTTTATCAAATCCCTGCGTTTCCCCCAATCCTTTTCTAGGCAGCACACATAAACACACACACACACACACACACACACACACACACACACACACACACACACATTCATATGTGCTCATTTCTCTCATGGGCATCGTTACATTTGCCACCCCTTAACAAAACCAACAAAACAAAACATAGAGATGTGAGTTGTTTGACTAGCTTAATGAAGAAATGCCTTACAAATGCTAGATCCCAAATAATAGAAGCCTATAGAAAGTCTCAAATTTTTGCACAGCCTTTTATTAAAAAAAATAAAATAAAGTGAATTTCCCTTGTCCATTTTGACATTGCGTTTTCCCGATGACCCATGAAATGAGTGACATAGAAGGAGCACTGAGGGGTCAAAGGAACCTTTTAATGAGGAAGAAACATAGGGACCCAAAAGGGAAGGAAATTTAATCTCTTTGCCCCCCCACTCCAATCTTACATGTAGGAGCTCTGTCCCAAGTCCTACCTGCAGCATGTCTACTGAGGATTCACACATATGGCGCTGAAGATCTGAGATGAGCTCTCGCATGTATTGCCTCTGCTGGACCACCTCGTCTCTAGCCGTTGCCAAGTTCATCAGCACATTCACTTCATCTTCCTCCAGGCTGTATAGCTCCTTTCGCTCCTCTCTGTCCAGGATGCCTCTCATTTCCTCAAACCCTTTCAGAATCCTCTCTCTCTCCATCTGCATGTGATTCTTTGGGAATGAGAAGGGAAAGAGGCAGTCAACCTGTCTAGCTGGGGGTCTACCTTTCATGGGCCTTGAGAACCAAGACAAGAACTATTTTCCACGGGCACTTAGAAGGTGAGAGGAAATGAGAAATTCCTGGGAAAACCATGTTTCCTACTACTTTCCCTTGAGCTGCACTCAAAGCAATTCACTCAAGTCCACTTTCTCAAGGCCCACCAGGAGACGCAAGGTGTTACACGGATGAGGCTTGGATCGCAGATACCGCTCCTAGATAATCATGCCACACTGCATATGACACTCCACCCATATCTCCAAAACAGGAAATCCTGGGCCTTCCTTAATGTGTTTTCTTGAAGTATCAGAGCCTCAAACTTGAGGGTGGAAATGGAACATGGGATTCATGAATCACTTTGACATGCTTCTTTCTATACTTTTGCCTCCAAATAGTTGCTTTCACTTGGGAATGTCTATTCTGTAACTCCAAACCCTTAATAGAGAAGGAATTGCATGAAGACTAGTCACATGTCTTCTGGATTCATTGATTCTGAGGTAACAAGGAGGAAGGGGACCCCTTGTGATTGGACAAGGTGCTGCCCGGTTTCCTGTTTAGAATGCCCTCAGAAATTATGTCTTTTTACCTTCCAGGTATCCCTCTCTTCACTGATAGCAGCTTCTAACTCCTCAGCTTCCTGCTGCTCCTGCGTCAGCTTCTTCAGAGCTTCCTGGAGCTTCCCCTGTAAGAAAGGAATCACCAAAGTCAAGCTATGGGCTTTCTCAGCACCTGGAGAGAGATGAATGGTGGAGAAAGCAGGCGCATCTCAGAAGAGACTAGAGTTTAGAAATGAAACTGGAGCCTGGCAGGTGTGGCTCAGTGGTTGAGTGTCTACCCATGCACCAGGATGTTGCCGGTTTGATTCCCGGTCAGGGCACATGCCCAGGTTGTGGGCCTGATCCCCAGTGGGGGGCATGCAAGAGGCGGCCAGTCGATGTTCTCTCTCATCGATATTTCTCTCTCTCTCTCTCTCCCCCCCCTTCCTCTCTCTCTAAAAATCAATAAAGAAAAATAAAAGAAATGAAACTGGAAATTAGAACTGAGAATATAGACAGCAATCCGAGGAGGTAAATGTGTTCTTTATCCTGGGTGATGCCAGTTTCCATCCCTTTTTCAAGAGTAGTTTGCATCTTGCCTTTCCTAGAGAAAAAAACTGGTCCTGCAGCAAATAAAGTTCTTTCCTCTCATGAGCACTTTTCCCAGATCTAACCAAACATGTTCCTAAAAACCCCGTCTGCTCACAGGGGTAATCAGAACTTATCTTGGGAAGTAGTGCTCACGTATACAACTTCTCTTCGCTGAGACTGTGTAGTCTATGCTTGTTGAAGAAAATGAATGAATGCACAGAACTGTTCTTCAGGCCTCCGAAGCTGAGCCACGGGCATGAAAGAGAATGCAGGCCTGAGTTCTATGGTGACGAGGGGAACAGAGAGGATTTAACAGTGAAGAAGGCACTTCAGGTAACATTCTGCCCAATGTTTTCACACTCTGGGGCCTACCTGACATTCCTTGACCACCTCCTCCATGGGGGATATTTGGTGACCTTGGTGCTCCTGGACACAACGACTGCAAATAGCCTTCCCATCCTCCTTACAGAAGTTGCGGCAGTTTTCCCCATGGCGTTCACAGACATTTCTCGTCTGCCACTGGTGTGACCTCACGTTGACTTCCCTGAATTTCTCTACTATGTTGGCCAGCTGCCGGTTAGGCCGGAGGGTCCATGGATAATATGTTCTCTGGCACACAGGACAGCGGCTTTCCCCTTCCAGGTTGCTCAGTGACTTGTTGGCAGTGATGCAGGCTTGGCAGAAGCTGTGTCCACAGTCCAGGCTCAGGGGTCCTATTAGGAGATCCATGCAGATGGGGCAGATCAACTCCTCCTTTATGTTCACTTGTGAAGAATCCATTGCCATGCTCCCCTGGCTTCTTCCTGTCCTGACTCCAGAGGCTCTTCCTGCTCACCAACTGCTGCAAGGCTGTGAATATTGAAGGAGGAGCATAAGAAAGGCAGGGATAGAAAGGATACAGGTTGTGCAGCGGTTTAGAACAGGACACAATATTAATATTCAACAAAGAAAAGAAAAGAGAGAAGAAGAGGAGTCAGTGACAGAATGAAAAAGACTCTTCACAATAATTTGGAACACTTAGCTCTTATTTATGTCACATAAATTTCACCCCACCAAGGCAACGGTTGCCATTTTATCTTCTTCTACTGGATAGAAGGACAAGCTGAGGCCCTTCCTACCAAAACCTTTGTGTCATTCATCACTAGTCTTTTCTGTTCTTCCCTACTGCCAAACACATCCCACATGTTAAATACACTAACAACACTGCCACCCCATGGGCTTTTTACCTTTGCTCATCTTTCCTCCATGACTTACTTTATTTGAACAATTTCATTGAGTTATATTTACATCACATGCTTTAATTTTAAGAGTTCAAGAATTTCTAGTAAATTTATGGAACAGAATAGCTGTCACCACAATCTAACTTTAGAACATTTCTATTTCTTGAAAAAAAAAAAAAAAAACTCAATGCTATTTGCAGTCACCCCCATTCTGACCCCGAGCCTCAGGCCACCATTAATCTCCCTTGTGTTTTTATGGAATTACCTTTACTGATGAATTCATAACAGTGAAATCATAATATAAGTGTTTTTGAATATGAATTCTTTCACTTTGTATGCAGCCACTGAGATTCATCTCTCCTATCTTTCGTTCCCATGAAAAAACATATTCTTGATACTAAAGCACTGAACCCACCACTGTCTCAGAAACATTGCACTTGTTATTTTCTGCATGGAATGATCTTCTCTCCGATGTCAGCATGACTCCTCCCTACATTTTATCCAGTCTCCACCTCACACATCCCCTTATCTGAAGGACCTACCTTAACTTATCTATAGAAAAACCACCAGTGCTATTGTTTGCTATACATTTGCTATATTTTTCTTATTTTTACTACCTAATGTATAACATCTTTAACTTCCTACCTCTTCTTCTTAACAATTAATTCATGTATAGATTAGTCACTCTTTTGTTCACACATGTGTCCTCCAGCATCTAGAACAGTGCATCACACAGGAACACAATGTTTGACAAATATAAAACTAGAAGCATCCTGCTCCCCATCTCTCCACAGATGATTATACTTTTTCCTTTTTTAAATCCTCACCAAAGGACATTTTTTCATTGATTTTTAGATAGCGTGGAAGGAAGGGAGGGAGATGGAGAGAATGACACATCAATGTGAGAGAGACATCGATTGGTTGTTTCTGCCACAAACCCGACAAGGGCCCAGGATGGAACCAGCAAACCCAGGAATGTGCCCTTGACCGGGAATGAACCTGTGACCCTCAGGTCTCCAGGCCGACACTCTACTCTATGAGCCAAACCGGCCAAGGCAATTTGACCTTTTCTTTTTTTAAATCAACTTTTCATCTTCTTTCCCATTATTTAGCAGTTCTCCAATACCTGAGAAGTGTTTACCTGTTAACACACCTGTCCCACACAGATCCTTCCCATGCCCTCAAACCCATTCCCACAGACCCCTATAGAAACAGAAAAGACACAATACAGAGGCAAATTTATCACTAATAATTTTATGACCAGCTATAATTTAGAGATCACCTTGACCTATTTATTTCTTATATACAATTTTTGACCAATAAGAGTACTTTCTTCTTGGATTAAGAAGAAAAAATTGGTAGTCACAAAACAGTCATGGGAATATAAACGTACAGCACAGAGAACATAGTAACTAATATTGTAATGACTATGTATGGTGTAGGTGGGTACTTGAAATACTGAGAGGGAAACACTTTGTAAAGTACAAGATTGTCTAACCACTATGCTGTACATCTGAAACTAATACAAAATAATACTGAATGTCAATTGTAATTGAAAATTAAAATAATAAATAAAGAAAATAACTTTAAAAATAAAAGCAGTACTCTTTTCTTCAGATGTGTAAATTAAATAGTTTATTTACAGAGGTCAAAGTTCTTTTAAAATAGGAAGAGTTCTCTCTTGTTGATAACATACCACCCTCAATATTGCCATGCAATGCTTTCCTGCACAGATTTAAAAAAACAAAAAACAAAAACTAGAGGTAGACTTTGAAAGAAATAGATTGATACCTAGTGCTGCAGGGGTGTAGAAACAGAGAGGGCAGGACCATCTGGGTAGTCCCAGGGAATCTGTGTCTGTAGTTATTGAGCCTTTACCTTGGCCAGGACATAAGGCAATATGTCAGTAGTCACCTAAAGCTGTGTATTTATTTATTTATTTATTTATTTATTTATTTATTTATTTTTCTTTATTGATTTTTGAGAGAAGAGAGAGACACACACACACACACACACACACACACACACATCAATGAGAGAGAACATCGATTAGCCACATCCTAAATGTCCCCTACCGGGAATTTGATCCACAACCTAGGCATGTGCCCTGACCAGAAATCAAACTGGCAACCTCCAGGTGCACAGATTGATGATCAACCACTGAGCCACACTGGCCAAGCTAAAGCTGTGTGTTTCTAGGGAGGAAGAGATGAGTTCGTATACTCAGGCTCACACACCTGGTAGAGACCCGAGAGTTATACATTCCAATGAGGCATCTGTCAATCATGAGAGAAAACACTCCACATTAAGGGAAGCCATACACTAGAGAGGTAAAGTCTGTCCTGTTCCAAGCACATTAAGTGCTCTTATGAGTTGAACTGTGTCCTTCTAAAAGATATTGAAATCTAACCCCCAGAATGTTTGAGTGTAAATTTATTTGGAAAGAGTGATTTTGCAGGTGATCACGTTAAAATGAAATCATTAGGGTGGGCTTTAATCCAACATGACTGTGTCCTTATGAAAAGAGGAAATTAGTACAGGGATAGACACGCATACATGGAGATTGCCATGTGAAGATAAAAAGCAGAAATCAGGGTGATTCCACGAACCATAAGGAATGCCAACCAACGATCAGAAGTCAGCAGAGGCACGGAACGGGTCCTTCCCTCACAGCCCTGAGAGGAGCCAACCCTGCCAACAGCACTGGTGATACATCCCCAGCCTCCAGAACTGTGAGAACAGATTACAGTTAAGCTAACTAATTTGTAGTTCTTTTTTTTTGTCAGCTCTAGAAAACTAACACAAGTGTTTATTTTTTCTTTATTTATTTACTGTATTATATCATTGAAGAAGCATTATACCATAGAAACCCCTTCACTAAAAACAGACACACAGACAGAGTCAAAATGTATTCTTGCTTTTTGAGATGATGAATGTAGGAGTTTTTATTTTTGATTTATTTTTTATGTTTCTCCTTTTCCCCCCATTGACACCCTCTTCCCTACCCCGCCCCCAGCCCTCTCCCCAGCATTGTTGTCTATGTTCATTTGTTACACATAAATGCACATAAGTTCTGTGGTTCATTTCTTCCCTCTCACTCCTGCACCCCCACTTCTGAGGTTTGTCAGTCTGTACCCTACTTCTACATCTCTGGGTCTATTTTGTTCATGAGTTTGTTTTGTTCATTATAGTCCACAAATAAGTGAGAGCATATATTTGTCTTTCTCTGATTGGCTTGTTTCACTTAAGATAATCCTCTCCAGGTCCCTCCATGTCGTCTTAAAGGATAAGAGATCTTTCTTTATTACAGCTGCATGGTATTCCACTGTGTATATGTACCACAGCTTTTTCATCCACTCACCTTTTAATGTAGGAGTTTTTGGAGAATAAATTAAGGGCCAACTAGGTCCTGAGTTTTCGTATGTCACTATATCCTAATTGTCCTTACAGAGGCTTTCTGATACTGTGCAGTGCAGACAAGAAAAATAGAAGGGTCTCCATGGTGTTGAGAAAGTTCTGTGAGGGGTTTAGTCAACACTCTTGAAACCTCTCCTGTACTCTCGGTCAGGAATTACTGATGAGAAGGTGAATCTGTTCTTGGCATCCAAACACCTGGAAAACTCAGAAATACTGCAACTTCTCCCATTCAGAGTTCTTTCTTCTACCCCCCCTTCTTTAGTCGAGGATTTAATCTGCACCACATTAATGAACCTCCCCCAAGGGTTCTAGCTCTCTGGTCAATTTAGTTCAAGGAAGTCATTTGGTAACAGAAGCCATCTTCATAAACTACCTCTACACTATTCTTTTCTCTCTCAGACAGTCTATCAGAAAATCCTGCAGCACTTTCTTCACATTAGGTCCCATCCAACTGAGTAGTCTTTTACCTGGCTTCCAGAAATGGTTTCCCCACTAGTATTCCTGATTCTGTCACTGGTCTCATTCTGTCTGCTCTCATCACTCTTCAACATCAGCCAGAGTGATTTTTTTTTTTTTTTATCCTCACCTGAGGACATTTTTCCATTTTTTTGTTCAGATAAAGTGGGGCGGGAGAGAGAGAGAGAGAAACATCGACATGAAAGGGACACATCGAGTGGTCGCCACCCGCACGACCCAACCAGGGCCGGGGACAAACTGCAACCGAGGCACATGCCCTTAGCGGGGACCGAACCCCGGTCTCTCTGGACCACAGGCCAATGCTCTACCGCTGAGCCAAATCGGCCAGGGCAGCCAGAGTGATTTTTTAAAGTATACATCAATCTTGTCACTCCTTTGCTCAGATACACACCATCAGTGAGTCAGTCTTGACCATGGCCTAGTTAGGTTCACATTACACATCTCCTTCTACTGCCTCAGCCTCTCAGCCCAACTTCCCATCAACCCACACTGGCTGCCTTTATGTTCCTAATCACTCAGGACAGAAAAAACAAAAACAAAAACCATCATTTCCTTGAAGGCTCTACTCAAAATCACCTTCTCATACTGAGACCTATCCTGAAATTTATTTAAAATTATAAAGCCCATTATCAGGGCTCTATAGATACCTTGCCCTATTGTAGCCCACTTGGTTTATTGTTCTCTTTTCTTTGTTTTACATTTACACCAGAGTGATTTCCATCTTGTTCTATATCACCTTACTCTTTTACTGCTTTTTTACTTTCTTTCTCCAGCACCAAATATAATTTTGTAGGTATTTAATATATATTATTTGTTCAATTGAAGTTAGTACAGTTTTATAACAGAGGTGAATGCATTTGTTATTGTGATTTTAATTAAAAATGTTAAAATATATAAAAATTTATTTTCACCTGTTTTGAAGGACAAAATTTCAGTACATATATGCCAGATATGAACCTTGTCCAGGTATAAGATATGCTCTCTGAGATGGAGGGAGGAAAGGAAAGTACACATCAAAATCTATGTACCTGCCCGGCCGGTGTGGCTAAGTGGTTAAACGTTGACCCATGCACCAAGATTCCCGATCAGGGCACATACCTAGGTTGTGGGCCAAATCCCCGGCGGGAGACATGTAAGAGGTGGCCAACCAATGTTTTCTCTCATCGATGTTTCTATCTCTCTCCCTTCCTCTTCATCTAAATAATCAATAAAAAAACTTTCATAAAATCTTTGTAACAGATAGATCAATGTACAAATTGCTCAAAAGTGAGATTAAGATAGAGTTCTTTCTTAAAATTACCACTCCTTTTCTTACCTCCGAGCAAGGGAAAAGTGAGTAAAGGGTTAATTGAGGTAATCAACAATGGAAGAGTATGTCTAAGATGATGTTGAAAATGTTCTACAGCAGGAGAGGGAACCAGAGAGTCATGGGGTGCACTGAGGTAAAGCGAGCATGGTACTCAGGGGAGAACAAATTTCCTGTTCTTGGACCCTCAGTGGGACAAGTGGCCATATGGGAGCTACAGAGATGGGCAGCAATCTGGCCATACAGCCTCTCTCATCGGGCTGCCCAAAGGCTGACATTTACCAGGAAGGTTGTGCAAAACTTCCCAGAAGTAACCACGAATCAGGGTCAAGGAAAGGGGCAGCAGGTGTCATGTCCAGTCTCAAAGGTGGCAAAAAAAAGCCCATGAAGCAGCCCAAGAAGAAGCCCAACAAGATGGATGAGGAAGATAAGGGATTCGAGTAGAAGGAAAAGAGGAGCAGAAGAAACTTGAGGCGCTGAAAGCAAAGGCCACAGAGAAGGACCCAGGACACATGTGAAATTGAGAAATTTGGCCAGAATTGAGCCGTTCCTTGTGCCTGTGGCTTTGGTGATCCTTAATTCCATTTCTGTTTTAAGATCTGGATTCCTCATCAGAACATCTGTTTTATATCTAGAATGAAAAAGGGTTGTCTACAAACATATTGCACATCATAGAATAAACTTTTGTGAAAAAAAAAATGAAATTTAACAAAAGAGTAAAAGGACCAGCTTCTCCAGGATCTGATCCCTGGCAGAGCCCCTAAGATCCCGTTCCTCTTACTAGCATCCAGATCAGGGCTCTCACTTCTGCTGGCCCTAACCAGACACTTTGGCTTAAAGAAGAGGGAAAACAGGGCCCCATCTCACAGGCTTCCCTGGAGAAAAGGAGGAAGGGATTTTCTGTCGGGGGGGGGGGGGGAGAGTATTCTGGCTTACACTGGAAAGTTAGCAAGTCAAAACTACAGAATAGGAAGATGAGGGTAACTCAGTCTGGTTCCTTCAAGAAACACATAAGACTGTGCTCTTTTAAACTCCCTTCTTTAAAGACCACTCTCCCCCAGACTCAGTGTTACTTCCCTGCCACCAGCAGAGACACCTACAAGAAGAGCAGCTGTAAAAACACATTTTGAGACAATAAACAAATTCAGTCAGCACCCCCAAACCCTTTTCTCCCTTGCTCTTAGAAATCAGCCCACTTACTTTCAGTAGATGTACAGGAGTCTTAATTCAGTGGAGATCAGGTGTAAGTCTGGTCAGTATTTACACACCAAGCCAGAGACAACCTTCCACAGAGGAGCTCCCCCACTGGAGAGGAATGAGAAATGAAAGTGAAGTTTATAGGACAGGAAATGAAACTTAGGAAGCAGAGCAGAAACTTAAGAACAACACAATGGGAAGTCACTACCCACACACTTCAGGAAATTAACGCTTCAGTATGTTCTACAATCTGCACTGTAACCAGCCCTCAATCACTGTTTTTAACCCTTTCTCAGATTATTCTAACAAGAATATTTAAGAAGAATGTGAAATCCAATGATACATTCTACAGCTTGCATGAATACTCACAATTTCAATTGAATTCTATATCTCTTAGTTAAGGTTTTTCTCTATGTATGTCCTAAGATACCTACTAGGGATAAAATCATGATTGAGAAAGTCTGGCGACCTGCCCTTTGTAAAGCAGAGCGTGATGAGAGGATAATCAGTGGTAGGGCTCCGTTCATTAGAGCTGAGTGATAGCAGCTGTCATAGTGGAAGGTAAAGTGAAATTCTGGAAAAGATTCTTCTTTGTAAATAGCAGCTAAAAGAGCTACTATTTAGAAAATGTTTGAACTTATTGAAAAAAATGTTTCCACAACACCATTGAATCTTAGAGGTCCACCAGTTAATTACCAGTTTTTGTTCGTGACCTAGACAGGCCAGAGGAGGAAGCCTTCCAGACCCAGTGTGGTACAGGTGTGTCATTGACATGGCACCAGCAACTAGGAGGCAGGAAGAGCATGGAGGTTAACAGGTGGTGCTCTTCTAGTGGAGTCTTTCCCTGGGTGGCACTCACACCTCCAAAACCGTCCCCTTCCCCCCTCTAATGGGAAATGTGTGGTCCTTTTTACACCAACAATCAAAAGCAGAACTGAAAAATATATTAAAATTAAAAATAAATTTAAAAGAAGGTACAACCTATGCATGACATAGTACTACAATAAAAAAATAACAATAAAATAAAAATAAGTTTAATTTTTCAAAATCAGAAGAGAAACATTTCTATTTCCTCTACATGTTTTCGTGCCCTGTTATCAGTTTTTTTTTTCTTCTGAGAACATGCTTCAGGTGCTGCAGCTACTAGAGGGTCGAAGATCCAGACAAGGATCCCTGACCGGCAAGACTGGACTGGGCAATCTTCACACATTAACTTAAAGAGACAGGGAGGGTGACTGAAACGTTGATGATTTTCTAATTAAAGCACAGATAGTTTGGTATTGTTTGTTTCCCACAGTTGAGTAAGCTAACGTTGCCCTACTGAGTCTTCTAGATTCACGTGTCTCTGAGGTAGGAGTGGAATTTATATAGGCGTATGGCTGAGTCATGTCGACAGTTTTAGTTTCAAGGTGTGAATGGAGTTATTTCCAACAAATAAACTGGTGCGCTTTGCAAGTGCAATGCTAAAATGGTAAATTTTGTACGGATTGCATTCTGAGAGCTGGCATTTTTTGCTTTATCATCTTTGCCATAAGATAATACTATCCGCTGCATCCACCCGCGGACCAGAGAGTCCCGGGTTTGGTTCCCTCTAAGGGCACGTACCTTAGAAGTTGCAGTTCATCCCTGGCCCCTGTTTGGGTCGTGTAGGTGGCAGCCAGTAGATGTCACCTCGATGTTTCTCTCTTTCTCTTCCTGTCTCTGTCCGTCAAAGTCTTTCTGAAGATAAATGCTAATATGTCCTTAGGTGAGGATAAAAGAAAAAAAGATAATAAGATCATTGAGTGTCCTTCTTCATCCAGCCCTGCACCCAGCAACAGTAAGAACTATGAAGGTAGGGAGGAACCTTCTTTATGTTATTCTTTATTGTGTCAGATTTACTACAAAATATTATGTATATGTTATATTATATATCATATATATGTTATATGGGGAATGGCATTGAAATAGAAAGGCATGCATTTATTGCTATGGATATAATTTTAACTACATTGAACATGCCGATGATAACCATGGTTCTGTTCTATTGATGGTGATGCTGTGAATAAAATTGCTGTAGTCGCAGTCAAATTCTGGCATTATTAGCATTTGTGTAAACTCCTTTGACAAATTTTAACCACAATTCTCATATTTAATTTTGTTGCTAAGATGTACTCAGATACTTATCTCAGTCCTGTTGTTTATCTCCTCCACCACACTCGCAGCACACAGCTTCCTGTGCCCTCCGTTGTTTTCAGACCTAGACAGTTAAAAAACAGAGGCCCGAAGCAGGAGAACTTCTCTCCATCAGGAGATGTAGGGACTAAAGGGAGCACGGAGCATGAGAAGATGGCTTATTCCCTGGGCCTCAGAATATGTTCTGAGGATACGCTGGAATGTGGACCACAGCAATGTTGTTAGCTCCGGAGATGGACTTTGGGTGATGGAAAAGGCAAAGTTCATTCATGTTTCCTATTAGCTCACCCTTCCTTGTACCCGACAAGCTCCGATTTCCTCACTGGTGTCTCTCCACCTTAAATCTAACGTCTCAGAGGAGGTCCCAGGACACCAGCACCATTCCCCTTGCCCTCCAACCCTCTCTTGGGTTTCTGATTTTTTCCAATATATTCTAGATTAATATTTCTATACTCGCTTCACAGAGAAGCTCAAAGACATTAGATCCTCTTTGTAGCTGCTGTTATCCAATTATATTTTGGTCCAAAGCTTTTCAGTCCAAAGCAGCCCTACCTCAACCTACTCAAAAATGCATACTGTGTGTTGTGGTTTGAGTTTTGAAAGAAAGGGTTTTTTTTGCGGGGGGGGGGGGAGGAGTGGCGGGGGTCTAAAGAGCAGAAATCTGATAAAGAGCCAGGTTCCAGGTAGAAACTTATTAACTAAAAATATCTTTCTTCTCATTCCAAAAGCATAACCCCTCATCTGACCATCTCACACAGAGTCTGGAGTAAAAGCATTAGTTCTCTGGGGCCCCAGATGTGAGCTCAGATCAGATTGAAATGGAGGCAAGAGTAAAACGACGAATATGTAATTTGTGGGGACACACATCCTAGCCTTCCCTGTGCACTCCACAGAAAAACACTCCATATGAGGAACCCTCCACCTCCCTTCAATTGTCAAGATGATTTGCAGATCAAACATAGATTATACCACAAATCACTCTATTGTATATCTCTGCACTTACCACCAGACCCCCAAACACCTTGTTCTCCTTTCTCAATTGTGAAAATGAAACTGGAACAAATACTTGAAAATAATTTGGCTGCTTGTTATAGTGTAACATATATTGACCTAAAAACCAGTAAATCTACTTATACTGTTTACTCAGACCAATAAATTGTCTGTGTTTCTGAAGACTGGACATGGGATCCCACCAAGACCTGCATGAACATCCACTGCAGATTCAACTCGGCTCCCTCCCACTGGGATGGCAGGAGGAGGAAGAACAGACTTATCTTCTGTCCTGAGGACTGCCATGGTCTGTCAGCGAACTGGAGAGAGTAAGGCCAATAAGGAGAAAGCAACTGAAAGCAAATGTATGTCTGAGAATATGCACGTGGTTGTGTGTGTGTGTGTGTGTGTGTGTGTGTGTGTGTTGGTGTTTTTCATATGCAGAGCATGAATAGTCTTAATAGTGAGTGGTGTCAAGGACATGAAAAAGGTTGTATGTAAAAATCCAGGTCTTTTTTTCTTTGTAATTAGGGACTTTATCCTGAATTAGAGGACTGGCATTCCAGTATCTGAAGAAAAATAAATGTCGCTGGAGTTGGTTTGTCAATAATTGAGGAGTATCGCTAGTAAATCATAGTCTCAGCCATCATGGCAATGGGGAGAAAGGAAGGCAGAGATCAAAGGGAAAATTTAGATAAATTGAATACACACACCCTGGAAATATCCACCTTGCAATCCCTTGATACATCAAAGATCGTCCAAAGTGAGAAATCCCTATGGACATGCAGGGATGAAAACACAATAATTGACAAGACAATGCATTTAATTAATTAATTAACCTACGTATTTCTTTCTTTATTTTAACTATTACTTCTTTGGGGAAAGATTTGGGAATAAAAATGCCAAAGACAAGGGGATTCCAACATGTTCGGAATTGATGGGAACTAAGCCCAGAACTAATGCCCCTCCTATCTCATTGAAGAGCTGGCTTTTCTCTCTGTTCCTGAAAACTTGTACCTCACCAGAGAAGTGAGGCTGACCTGGGCAACAAAACACTTACGTACCCTGTTGTTTAGAAATCTCACAATCTGCCGGGCTGGTGTGGCTCAGTGTCTGAGTGTGGACCCATGCATCAAGAGGTCACCAGTCTGATTCCTGGTCAGGGCACGAGTTCAGGTTGTGAGCTCGATCTCCAGTGGGGGGCATGTAGGAGGCAGCAGATGGATGTTTCTCTCTCATAGATATCACTATATCTCTCTCTCTGCCTATCTCTTCCTCTATCTCTAAAAATCAATAAGAACGTTTTGTTTCTTTTAAATCCCACAATTGTACTTCTTACACTTCCTCTATTTTTGTGAATAACTTTTTATGCATGTCTTTTTTTAAATCTTCACCTGGGAATATTCTTCCATTTATTTTTAGAGAGTGTGAGGGAGAGAGACGTAGAGAGAGAGAGAAACATCGATGTGACAGAGACACATCAGTTGGCTGCCTCCCGCAGGACCCCGAACAGGGCCAGGGACCGAACCTCAACCAAGGTCCATACCCCTGACTGCAATTGACCCCACGTCCTGTGAATAACTTTTTAAAACAGAGCAAACAGAACCCAAATTCAAGTTTAAGTTCAGGTTTACATATTTACTATAGGAAAAAAAGAACATAAAACTAAGAAGCTATGCAGAAACATTTATTTTACAATTAGCTAAAATTTCAAGACAGGTATAATTTTTTCATCGTTATTTTATTTCTTAAAATAAAGTAAGAATAATGATATTGATAGTAAACTTATAGGTATTCTTAAAATCATTTATTTCAGTGGCAAAGAGAAGAAATAAATGAACAGACAGCATACTTGATTACTCCTCATGTGCCAGAAATGAACGGAGTTATTCAAAACATTCTGTTGTTAGGACATACAAATGGCTAAGAGACATATGAAGAAATGTTCATCATCACTAATCATCAGAGAGATGCAAATCAAAACAACAATGAGGTATCACCTCACACCTGTCAGAATGGCCTCCATCAACAAATCATCAAACAACAAGTGTTGGCGAGGGTGTGGAGAAAAGGGGACTCTAGTACACTGTTGGTGGGAATGCAGACTGGTGCAGCCACTATGGAAAACAATATGGTGTTACCTCAAAAAATTAAAAATTGATCTTCCATTTGACCCAGTGATCCCACTTCTAGGAATATACCCTACGAAGCATAAAACACCAATCAAAAAAAATATATGTACCCCCATCTTTGTAGCAGCACTATTTACAATCGCTAAGATCTGGAAACAGCCCAAGTGCCCTAGACGAATGGATCAAAAAGCTGTGGTACATATACAAAATGGAGTACTACGCAGCGGTAAGAAAGAAAGATCTCTTATCCTTTGAGACTACATGGAGGGACCTGGAAAGTATCATCCTAAGTGAAACACGCCAAACAGAGAAAGACAAATTTCATATGATCTCACTTATTTGTGGAATATAATGAACATAACAGTTTGAGGACAATCCCCTAAGGAGTGGGGAGGTGGGAGAGGGATGAACCACAGAACTTATGTGCATGTATGCATGAACAGTGGACATGGACAACAATCTGGGGAAGGGGCAGGGAGGGAAGGGGGAGTGGGGAATCAGTGGTGGAAAAAAGGAGAATCATTTGTAACAAAAATTAATCAATAAAATAAAAATAAATAAATAAATAAATAAATAAATAAATAAATAAATAAAAATCAAAACAAAACAAAAAACATTCTGTTGTTTAGTTTTTATAATAATACATCAGGCAAATTTCATACCTTTTTTTTTTTTTTTTTGTTACAAATGTGAAACTGACTCCTCTAGAATTTAGGTAATTTGCTCAGGGCTAATGTGTAGTAATACCAGAAGTATAATAAAATTCTCTCTCTCTCTCTCTCTCTCTCTCTCTCTCTCTCTCTCTCTCTCACACACACACACACACACACACATACACACACACACTCACCCTTATCTATCACTGGTAGAGCTGGAGTGGTCTAGACAGCAGCTCAGAGGGATCTGGGTTCTGAAACATGAGACTTCAGTAAAAAACCTCTAGTGTCTTGAAGACACAAACCTGTTTCATGAAATATTGACACACTTTCATTTTTTAATAATTAGTAGATAAAATGTTTATTTTGTAGACACATTTACATGTTATACTCTTAATGACATTTTTCTTCTCACAGTGATTCTAACTACAGTGAGGTTTTATTACCAGGACTGTTTAAAGAAAGAAAATAAAACCAGCATTCAAATATTTTTTTACAGTTCACTGTGCGTGTTTGGAGATTTATGATATTTTATATTTTCTCCTTCCTTGGTGAATAATGAACATCATTGGTGAAATGACACACACTAAGGACTCATTTTGTAGTGAGTGGATCCAATACAGTGACTTCAATAATATACAAAAGTTGTTGGAAAGTTTTCCTTCATCTTCTCTGTCAGAAGCAGAGGACGTGAGATTATAAAAATCGGTACAGAGGTTACCACCTCCATACATGTCTTTCTTTTTTTTAATGAGACATTAGTCATTATAAAAAGTGATGAGATAGGGTTATCTATCAATGCAAACAAGATATCGGGATAGATATAACACGAGACTAATTGTGCACACTATTGGTGAATGAAGGATGTTCACATAAAAGAAGAGGCAGCAAGGAAAAGATGGTGAGAATCATTCAGATAAACTCAGTTCGTTAAGTGCAACCAAGGCAAGAGAGCTTCATAGAAGTGGGTGCTGGTGAAAGAGGATTAAGAGCTTGGGGAACATAGTTTCAGGGGGCGACGCCTTTTCATTGGATTGAAATATGGAAAAATTTCCTGAGGAAAGGAACATGAAGAGAATTTGTAAATGAGAGTCCCATGGTTTGTGACATTACAGAATGAGACAGTGCGAGCACTGTAGTCTAGGAAAACCCCAACACGACGCGGATGAACCGTCAGGAACAGTGTTAAGGTTGAGGCATCGGATGAGGCAGAATTAACAAAAGCCTTATAGTCAAAACGATTTTGTAACCCTATAACCCAGTAGCCAAATTTAGGTTGATATCGAGAGCAAACATGTTTACAATCATCTTGAATTACAAACTCCCTCGTATTCAAGTCAGGACGTTTTCCACTGTATACCCCCAAACTCCAGGAATATTTATTTGACACATCTACCTCCCAGTAATGTTTTCCTGATGTGATAAGGGGTGATCCTAGGACACCATGATCCTCAATATCGTTTCCATATAAAAAACCTCTTGTAAGTCTGAAGTGAGCTGCCACTTGCTTCTTATCCTCAGAAATGTGAGTATTTCCTATAGCCATGGGGTATTCCAGGGTCACATGTGCTGTAGAAAAATTAAAGGGTTGGGTAAGAAATGTGATGTACTTTCAATGGTGACATTGTAAGAGAGATTGCAAGAATAAAATGAGTGGGAACTGGAAAAAACTTGGTTTAATTCTTGAGGACCAGTATAATTCTGCAGAAATATAATAGGTATGTGTATATTGGAAGGGAAAACATGGGTCTGAACACATGAGACTGAGTAGAAAATGAAAAATTCTAAAGAAGATGAGGGCAAAAATGGCTTCATACTATCCTTACCCCAGTAGCGGCGCAGCTCTGTCAGCCCTGAAATGATAAAAATCAATAGCATTAAATATAAGCAGAAGAGCCTACATTGAAGTTCATTTTATCCTCAGATCAGGGTACAGACTGAGGTCTATGTAAGGTAGTACAAGTAAGAATGAAGGTGAACCAGACAGCTGACCACACCTTGTCAAACATGCCCATAACATCAGCACATAATATCCATCCTCTTTTGTCTCCTCTATCCACACCCAGAAATTGAACCCTCCTCCCCGTTTAACCCATACATTACAAGAATCTCATGCCCACCCACTTGCTCTGGCATTCCTCACTGTTAAACACTTGCAGAATCTGTTGCCAGTCAGGAGCTTGGAATACTCTCCTTTGTTCCTTGGAGAGAGTTTTTGGTGTCAGTGTCTTCAGAGAGAAAGTCCTACTCCTAGGGATGACAAAAAAGATCTCCATGTTTCTGACTTTAGTCTCTCCAAAACCACTGATTTTTATCTATCCACCTCATTGAATACTTGAGTCTTCTTCCATGTACCCCTGAGAAAGGAGACAGTAGATTCCTGAACTTAAAGCCAAAAAAAATGTATTCAATCTACTTTCCCAGATGTTCTCTGTGTGACTCTGGGAAGCACTTTTATATTCCTTTCAAAATGAAAACAATTCTCTCCCTCTCTAACTTCTAACAATAATATGAAATTATATACAATAGTGGATTTCTTTAACATGCAAAATTTGGTACCATGAAATAAATTACTGTAATAAAAAGTCTTGACATAGATCTAGATTCCGAGGGACATGACAAGAAAGTGAGTTTGCAAAATCTGGCTTCTTGTGTTGAGATGCACCAAGTGTGGGAATGCTGTCTGGGAGGACCAAACCTTTAAATTCTACTCCCGGTTAGGCAGGCCCCCTGAACAACATGTGAGATTATGGGTTCCCTTGGAGACAATGTAACACTTGGAACAGAAGACATTAAGAATGCTTTACTAATACTCATCAGAATTTTGTGTGCTTAGAAGAGATTAATGCAGGCAATTATGTGTGAAAATGTAGACTGAAAGATGATGATGCCCTTCCATTCTGGGTTCAAAACTCTGTCATCAAGATGGGTCAATTGTTTGCACCAGGGTCAAAATATTCCTTAATATTCAACTCTGTTTTTGTAAAATAAAGAGAACCATATGAAAGGATCTGGTCTCTTCAATTCACAGAGTTTTCTCAGATTCTAGGTGCTTATGAGGTAAAGAAGACATGACATTTCCATGATAAATCCATCACCTAAGAAATGTGGAAATCTGACTTAAATAAAGGCACTCTGAGTGAATAGGATTTATGAAATCAGATATCCATCCTCTTTTGTCTCCTCTATCCACACCCAGAAATTGAACCCTCCTCCCCGTTTAACCCATACATTACAAGAATCTCATGCCCACCCACTTGCTCTGGCATTCCTCACTGTTAAACACTTGCAGAATCTGTTGCCAGTCAGGAGCTTGGAATACTCTCCTTTGTTCCTTGGAGAGAGTTTTTGGTGTAATAAAAAGTCTGATCTTATCCTTAACTGCTACTAACCCAAACTCTGCAACTTTCCCCCAAGTAAATTTTCTACCATAAAATCTGGTTCATCATCAGTAGTTATAGAACACTCAAACCATAACATGTGAACAGAAATTTAAGATAAAACTACATCCAAATTTTTCTTGTCTGAGAATAATTTATTCTAATTAACCACCAGATAACTTTAATGGCTTTCAACCTCTTTTCAAAGCACAAAGGGACCATCTCTGGTCTTCCACACATACCTTTCCATAATACCATGCACATCCTAGGGAGAAAAGAGAAAACACAAGTCAAGAATGAGCTGTCCTCACTTACAAAGCTTCATCACATCCTCACCACACCCTCTTCTGGATGGAATAGAGATGGTCCTAATGTGAGAGCGAAATAGTAAAGACAAGACGCAGGTCAACCATTTCAGAAGATTCATGTGAAGTTGTCATTTTCCTGAAATATAGAAACAACTTTGACCCCTGTGGAAGCACAGCCTGAGCTTCCAGTACCTGGAGATGTGACGCATTTATGAGAAAAGCATGAAGCCCATGATATTTTCACCATGTTCACAAAGCTCCTCATGAGATTATTTGAAGAACTCATGGTTTATTCATTTGTCAACACACATGTAAAGTGGTGTACTGTTACTTGTGAAGCATTATGCCATAATTGGGAAAATCAAAGATGAGTAGTTATTGTGTGCCTCAGGGAGTTTACATGGCTTCTGCTGAGGGTACAAGCAAAAAATGTATTAATGTTGGCGTTTCTCAAATCTCTCTTCTTGTTTCACCCACTCTCTATCATTGACCTTATCCACATCCTTAAATTTAACATGCACCTATGTGTAGTTTATTTCCAAGAACTTATTTTTACTCAATTTTCCTCTTAAAAGCATATTAATATAATCCCTATTAAAAAGCCATAGGAACCAGTAACTTAGGATGTTTACTATGTAACTTACTATTCAGCAAACAAATTGCCTCCTCTTTAAACACTGTTGTCCATGTTACCAGTATCCACTGAGTCATTGATCTAAACACTACAATATTTATTGGATTTCATTCTCTAACAAAACGGTTTAGTCCATATTGTTAACTGTTTTTAGTTATCAGAACTTCTTTATCATCATCAGTTTATTTCTTTGAACAGATATGCACAAATATATTTTGTCTCCTTTGTCTCGGACTTCTTCCATGGCACATGGAACTAGGCCAACTGCTGGGTCCATGGACACAAGAAAAAAAAAATTGCTTTGCTCTTATGTATTTGGGCCTTGTTTTGGTATCTCACACACTAAGAAAATCTGAAGTAGATAAGTAGAGGAAAGAAATTTTGTGAACAGTTGTAACTTTAATCAAAGCATAATTCTGAAGCTCAAACATTGTCATCAGGAACTATTCTATGGCATTCTGCAAATTCTTTGTATGCCCTCTGTATTGACTCTATCCTCAGTTCATAGAAATAAACACCTATCCCCTCATATAAATCCCCCCCAAAAGATATCTTATCTTCCAAGTTATATAAAATATTCTAAGGCCTGCATGGTGTTGGCCAGCATTAGATCAAGTGCCCATATTAAAAGTGTCAATGTGTTGTTGGTGATATAACATCAAGTAATATTGGAGGCAAGTATACATATTTTACTGGCATTCATTTCATACTAATATGCAATAGATCATGATAAAATAGGATGCAATTTCTAAATCGAAGAGCCACCACCACAAAAATAAAACATATTAAAACAAAATTTTTTATTAAAACACCTGTTCAACTGAAAAGAAGCCATTCAATGAGAAAGAGAACAATGATAATTGCAGGTGATATACAGAAGCTAATAATGCAGTGTAAATTAAATGGAGCTACATTGACAATTGCACTAAATATTATTGTTTTCATTTATCAATTAAAGACAGAGACTTTTGGACTAGAATAAAAGCAATTTCAATTATTGCTACCTACCAGTGACATATTTTAGATTCAAAGACACAGATATGTCAAAAGTAAAAAGAGAATCTTAGGTAAAATGGTGGACTAGGTAAATACTGTGCATGTTTCCTCCCAATACCACATCAAAATTATAACTAAATTATAGAAAAATCACCCTTGACACCACGTGATGACAAGCTGAAGAGAACTCCTACAACTAAGGTTATGAAGAAGAAGCCACCTTGAGACTGGTAGGAGGGTGGAGATGTAACTGGCTAGTAACACACCCATGTTTGGAGGTTAAGAAATAGGATAGCCACTCAGTTTGAGGGCCATCTCCCCCACCAATGTGCCTACAGCAATCAAGGCTCAACTATAAAAAGAGAGAACAGACAACCTATACAGTGTACACCCCTAGAGAACCTGGTTAAGATGAACTCAGAAACTGCACCTCTGGGCCCCAAAGGACACCTACTACATAAGGCCACTCTGCCAAGACTGATAGGTGCAGCAGATAATACGAATACATAGAAATAAAAGTAGGAAGGCAGCCAAAATGAGGAGACAAGGAAATATGTCCCAAATAAAGATCAGGACAAAATTTCAGAAAACTGACTAATAAAAATGGGGGCAAACAATCTATCAGATGAAGAATTCTAAACACTGGTTATAAGAATGCTCAATGAACTTAGGGAATGAATAGATGATCTCACTGAAAACTTCAGCAAAGAGACAAGAACCATAAAAAGAGAGATAGCATAAAAAGACCCAGTGACAAATGAAGAATACTAAGAGATAATCTTAAAAGCAGCAAAGAAATAGCAATTAGTTACCTGTATGAAGGCTCCCATAGGATTATCAGCTGATTTCTCAAAAGAAACTTTGCAGGCAGAAGGGAGTGGCATGAAATAGAGTTATGAAAATCAAAAACCTATAACCTAGATTACTCTACCTAGCAAGGCCATTGTTTAGAATTAAAGGAGACAAAGAGAGCTTCTAGTATAGAAAAAGTTGCCCTGGCCACTTTGGCTCAGCAGTTGGAGCATCGGCCTGCGGACCAGAGAGTACTGGGCTCGGTTCCCGCTAGGGGCCTGTACCAAAAAAAAGATAAAAGAAAAAGCTAAATGAGCTTCTTACCACCAAACCAGTATTAAAACAAATGTGAAAGAGACTTAAGAAAAAGAAAAACAAATAAAAAATATAAATAAGAAAACCATCATGGCGTAGAAGAGATGACCAGCATTATAAACCAGCTCAACCTAACTGGCATCTATGGACCCTTTCATTCTATGAATACACAATACACATTCTTTTTAATTTCATATCAAAAAAATTGAACATACAATATTTTAGACCATAAAGGATGTGTCAATACATTTAAAAGATTGAAATAATAAAATATATACTTTCTGGTAAGAAAGGAATTACATTTAAAATACACAGCAGAAGAAAAAGTAAAAATCACGATGTTTGTAAATTAGACAACACAATTTCAAATATTTCAACAGTCAAGATAAAAGTACCAAAGAAAATTTGAAAATAAGTTAAATTGAATCAAAAGAACAAGTAATCCAATAGTAAAGAATATAGCTAAAACAATGCATTTATATAATTAAAAACTGTAACAAAAAACATTGTGTCAGACTAGTGGTCAAAAGTATCACTTTAAGAAACAAGAAAAAGAACAGTAAGTTAAAAACAATAAACACAGACAAGCAAAATCATGCAGGCAAGTGCATTTACACATATACACAAAGGAAACTATATAGATGAGAGCAGAAATCTATAATATAGAAAGGTTAAAATTAAATACATAAATAAAACAATAAAGGTAATTTTTGAAAAGCATCAATAAATTTAACCAAATGTAACTAAACACCCCTAAAAATCACTAAAATCAGGAATAAACGATCTGCCTTTACTGTAAGTACTGTAGAAATGAGAGAGTCTAAGAAAGTATGACTAATTACATGTTTACAAATTTGACAACTTGAGATAGACAAATTTCTACAAAGATGTAAATCATCAAACACTGACTCAAGAAATATATATATATAAAATCTAAGAAAACTTAATATAAGTAATTAAATATCTTAAACCTCTCTCTCTCCCCCCACCAAAAATAATCAGAGTGAGATGGTTTCACTGATGAATCTATTGAATAATTAAAGAATAAATAATACTAATTCTTCATAATTGTTTATTCAGAAAATTTAGAAAAAAGAGAAAAATCTCAACTCATTCTATAAAAGACAAAAACAAACAAACAAAACACACCTTGTATTTTGAAGAGGTAAATAAAAAAAAGTTCTAGATCAAGATACAAGGGCCTACTGAATATAATTGGACACAATGGATCTTCTCTCCAGAGTCACTTTTGCACTGTAGTTGATACATTAGTAAAATTATATTTTTGCTAGCTATTCATGCATTCAATTATTTCTAGAACCTCTGAAATAGATGCAGGGAAGGGTTACTTGTTATTTCTAGAACCTCTGAAATAGATAAAGGGAAGGGTTACTGCAAGTCCAAAGGAACCTCAGTGTCACCACTACAAAAAGCACAGCCACATAACAGAGGAGAAAAGTTAGTCTTCATTTTCCTCAAGTTCAGATGCTGGGGCTTATTCCCGAGTCTTACCTGCATCATCTCTAGTGTTGACCCCTGTAGCCGATGCTCCAGATCGGAGATGAGATCTTCCAACAACTGGCTCTGCTGGACCAGCTCACACTCAGTCTGAGCCAAGTCATTGAGAACATCTGTCTCCTCCTGCTTCAGTATATTCAGCTCCTTCTGCTCCTCACTGTCCAGGATTCCTCTCACATTTTTAAAACAGTCCTGGACACTTTGGCTATCCTTGTCTATTAGATCCTTCAGGAATGAGAAAAAGAGAGAGGGAGTCAGGCCTCAGGCAGAGGCTGGGGGCCAGAAATAGAGTATTTAATTTGAATGTTCTCAGAGGGAAGGTAGATGGAAGCAGGGAAGGAATTCTTGTGGAGGCTGATATTTCCTGTTATTTTCTCTCTATCACCTTCCAAAATAATAACCTCAAGTCTGCATTATTGAGGCCAATCTAGAACCAAAATAAGATAGCTGGGTGTGACTCAGATTTTACAGAGCTGTCCAGGACAGTCATTCCTCCCTCTAGTAATCCTGTCCCCCATCCTCACCCTCTGCCTAATGTTGAGCACCAGAGACAGAGCCATGAGCCATGGGCAATTGTCTTCCCCTGGAAGAGTTAAAGGTTTAAAATAATGACAGAAATGAATACAGAATTCACCAGCCATTTTCACCAGAGAGGGTCTCTATGAGAATAACTAACCTATAAATATCGCTTTTAATTTATGACATGCTCAATGTCAGCCCCACCCCTATCAGGGGAAAAATAAAGAATGGCTAATCAATAAATCTGGATATATCAACATTCAAGAAACAAGAAGAAAGGGACCTCCTTGTGACTAACAACCAAGGTTCTTCCCAGATTCCTGTCTGACTTTCTTTAGAAGTCTCTCCTCTTACCTTCCAGGTAGTTCTCTGTTCTTCAAGGTCAGTTCCCAATTTCTCAGCTTTCTGCTGTTCTGCCTTCAGCCTTTTAAGAGCTTCCTGGAGCTTCTCCTGTGAAAAAGGAATCATATCGGGGTCAAACTGTGGGCTTTCTCGGCCTCAGTGGAGAGGATAAATGGGGAACAAATCAGGTTGATCCCTAAAGAGTGTAGAGTTTACAGAAACCATGAACTAACAATTAGAATCTGATTTGAAGGAAACCTGTTGTGGTGGATGTGCTCTTTAGAATTCAGATGATAGAAGTCACTATTCCCATGTAAAGAGAAGACTCATTCTCTTTGCCTGGGGGGGATGAGGTGGACTTGATCTTCTAGTAAGGACAGAAGTTAGGTCTTGATCCACCCAGCTGCCTAATTACCCTAGTTCTTTCCAAAGGGATAATGACAGCTTTGCTTGGGCACCAAACCTCCACCTGTTAGCACACGGTATATAAATATCTATTTTTGGTTTAGAGTCTGCTCATCAGAGATACCCTTTAGACCTTGGAAAGTGAGCATAAGATGAAAGTGATCACAGACCTCAGGTAATGGTGGCAAGGTAATGAGAGTCAAATGCAAAGTGAGATTTCCCATCAAGCAGTATTTTCGACCCTGTTTTTCCTGCATCCTGGTCTATTACCTTGTACTCCTGGGCAACCTCCTCCATGAGGAATGTGTGGTGACCACGGTGCTCTTGAGACCGCTCACAAACCCAGCAAATTATCTTCTCATCCTCCTTACAGAACAGCAGGAGTTTCTCTCCATGGTGCACACAGAGATCTCTCTTTTGCTTCTTTTCTGGGCTCAACTTAACCTCCCTAAGTGTCTCCACTATGTTGGCCAAATGCCGACTAGGCCGCAGGTTCTCAGGCTGGTAACTTAGCCTGCACACTGGGCAGTGGCTCTCTCCTTCCTGGCCTGTCATGGGCTCCTTGTTGTTGGCAGTGATGCAGGCTTGGCAGAAGCTGTGCCCACAGTCCAGACACATGGGTTTTTTCAGGAGCTCCAGGCAGATGGGGCAGTTCACCTCCTCCTTTAGGTTCTCCAGGACTCCTGAAGCCATTGAAGCTGCTCCCTGCTCCTACCTTTTCTGATGTCAGAGGTTCTTCTTGCTTACAGATCCCAGCCTGATGGAAATGTTAAAATGGGGCAGAATAAGCATAGGAACGAATGTCACAAATTGTGTAAAAATCAAAGACAGGGAAAGAACAAATATAGAAGAACAAAAATAGCCCTGGCCGGTTTGGCTCAGGAGTTAGAGAGTCAACCTGCAGTCCACAGAGACCCAGGTGTGGTTCCCGCTAAGGGCATGTATCTTGGCTGCAGTTTGTCCCCGGCCCTGGTTGGATCGTGTGGGTGGCAACCACTCCATGTGTCCCTTTCACGTTGATGTTTCTCTCTCTCTCTTCCTCTCACTCTATCTGAATAAAAAATGGAAAAATGTCCTCAGGTGAGGATAAAAAATAATAAAGTACTGAGAGAACAAAAGGAGCATGATGACCTTGCACAAAGGACTTTTAAAAACAATTTTAAATACTTTCAGTTACTCTGACATGACAAAATTCATTATCTGTGCAGTGGTTATTATTGTCCTTTATGTTTATTGAACAAAAGAATAACATGAGACTTCCAGTCAAGATAGTGGTGTAGGTCAATGCGGTACTCACTTCCTCCCACAACAACATGAAAATTACAACTAAATTACAACACAATAATCATTCAGAACCACCTGAAATCCAGCTGAATGGAAGTCCTACAACTGTGAAATTAAAGTAGCACCACACCGAGACTGGTAGGAGGGGCAGAGGCACGAACGGGTTGGTCCCATACCCATGTATGGTAGATAAAATTCAAGAGGGACTCCTCAACTGTGAAGGTCCTTCATGAGGAGTGAGGGGTCCCTGTTCCACACTAGGTGCCCAGATGGCCACCATATCTGGGACTCCAGCAATCTGGCTCACACTTTTTGCCCTGCCCCAGTGATCCCCTGAGGCCTCGCCCCACCCAATATTCAGGCCCACCCAAGCTGTTTCCAAAGGCTTTACCATAGGATTGGCTGTCTTGGATCCTGCTTCAGAGTTTTCTATAATCTGTCAAAAAAGCATCATCTGGTCTCAGTGAGCCCTACACCTCTTGTTAAGTGGCCCAAGGCCTGGCACTAGAAGCAGCCAGCCTTGGTTCACAACTTGGCTTTTCCTGGGCACCTCCAAGCCCAGCACAAGAAGCAGCCATCTGCATATCACTTTGTAGCTTAAGCTGGTGGCCCCGGATAGAACATAGGCAGTGGCTGATCTTGTACCAGAGCCAGCACACCCAGTAGACAGCTTCAGACCACATCAGAACACTACCACCCAACCACCTCCACAAGTGACATACTCATTGAGCTGACTCAGTGGGCACCAGAGCCCTGATCAAGTAAGTCTTGCTCTGTGTGGCTGGCACCTACACAGTTGATCCTCCAAGGTATTCAGAGGCCACTGGTCAGTGGGCATAGCCAGTTTTTGCAACTGATCAGCCTGAGTAAATCTCTCCCATTGATGTACCAACAATTCAAGACTCAAATACAACAGAAGGGTGCACAGTCCACATTAGGGGTGTACCTGGAGGGCCCTGCTGGGGTGATCAGGGAGACTGTGCCACTGAATTCCATAGGACACCTACAATAATTGGCCACCCTATGAAGCCTAGGAGACATAGAAACTCTACCTAATACATAGAAACAATCACAGAGAAGCAGCTAAAATGAGGAGACAAAGAAATATGTCCCAAATGAAAGAAAAAAACAAAACTCCAGGAAAAGAACTAAATGAAATGGAGATAAGCAATCAATCAGATGCAGAGTTCAAAACACTGGTTATAAGGTTGCTCAAGGAACTTGGTGTGACATTCAAGGAACTTAGTGAGACCTACAAGGAGCTTAAGGAGACCTCTAAAAAACTTAGTGAGAACATCAAAAACATATAAAAGGACCAGTCAGAAATGAAGGATGTACTAACTGAAATAAAGAATAATTTACAAGGAATCAATAGTAGGAAAGGTAAAGCCAAGAAGCAAACCATTTATTCATAATATAAGGATATAAAAAACACCCAATCAGAACAGAAAAAAGAAAAAAGAACCCAAAAAAATGAGGATAGTGTAAGGATCCTCTGGGACAACTTCAAGTGTGCCAACATTCGCATCATAGGGGTGCCAGAAGAAGAAGAGAGAGAACAAAAAATTGAAAACATATTTGAAACAATAATGACAGCAAACTTTCCTAACTTGGTGAAAGAAATAGACATACATGTTCAAGAAGCACAGAGAGTCCTAAACAAGATGAATCCAAAGAGATCCACACCAAGACACATCATCATCAAAATGCCAAAGGTTAAATACAAAGAGAGAGTCTTAAAAGCAGCAAGAGAAAAGCAGCTTGTAACCTACAAAGGAGCTTCCATAAGACAGTCAGCTGATTTCTCAAAAGAAACTTCAGGCCAGGAAGGAGTGGCAAGAGATATTCAAGGTAATGAGAACCACTGACCTACAACCAAGATTACTCTATCCTGCAAAGTTATCATTTAGAATGGATGGACATATCAAGAGTTTCCCAGACAAGAAAAAACTAAAGGAGTTCATCACCACTAGACCAGTATTATATGAAATGTTGAAGGGTCTTCTTGAAGGAGAAGAAGAACAAAACTATGAAAAACAAAATGACAATTAATACATATCTATCAAAAATTGAATCTACAAAAAAAATGAGCAAGCAAAAGAGAAACAGACCCCTAGATACAGAGGACTTTTTGTTGCTTGCCAGAGGGCGGGGCTTGGGAGATGGGTAAAAAAGATAAAGAAATTAAGAAGCACAAATTTGTTGTTAGACTGATGAACCCCAAAGGGAAAGGAGGGAGGGCAGGTTGAGATAAACCAAAGAACTTCTATGCATATATGCATAAGCAATGGACACTGACAATCTTATGGGGAAGGCAGGAGGGTGGCTGGATTTGGGAGGAGGGGGTCAATGGGGAAAAAAGGGGGGACATCTGTAATACATTCAACAATAAAGATGAGTTAACATTAATTAATTAATTAATTAAAATAAAAAGAATGACTTGAAACCTTTTCTATGAAGAAAAGATGTTTGTGTAACCCAACATTTCTCTAGCTGCTTCTTTTCTATGCCAAACACATCCTCAATGATAAAAGCACCAAACCTCTGATGAGTCTGGGCTTTTATACCTGCTCTTCTCTCAGCCGGTAATGCTGTCCCTGGTATTAGTAGGACACACTCTCATCTTTCAGTTCTCTCTCTCCTTACATGTTCCTTTATCAAAAAGACAAGCTCTGACTTGATTTTTATAGTGTAACCATCCCCATGATTTGCTATATGTTTGAAATTATTTCTCTTATTATTATGATTTAATATGTGACTATGTGTTTGCCTAAATGGCAAGAGCAAATCCTTTGTCCGATCATACATAAAGTTAGTAACTGACTTGCAAAGATTATTTTCTTCAGTACACACAGTTAGGATAGACATAATGTACTCAGGGTCCCCCTTTAGAGGTCTGTTCCTACCTTCCTGAGTTAATTAAAGATAAAACAGGTAACTTAGGAGGTCCTGGGGAGCCTTGTGTTGATAAATGGAAAAATGTCATGTTTGCCTGGAAATATGCCAAGGACATTGATGGGTGCCTAAAGGTGTGTATGTACATTGTGATGGGGAAGGTGATAGAATAAATAGACTCACAGTATCACTTAAGTCACATGTCTGAAAAAAAATTTAATTCAGGTTGAATACATATGTCTTTCAAAAGAAATCTCAAAATATTCCTAGAAGTGGGATCACTGGGTCAAATCGCAGTTCAATTTTTAATTTTTTGAGGTAACACCATAGTGTTTTCCACAGTGGCTGCAACAGTCTGCATTCCCACCAACAGTGTACTAGAGTCCCCTTTTCTCCACACCCTCTAATGTACTTGTTGTTTGATGATTTGTTGATGGCAGCCATTCTGACAGGTGTGAGGTGATACCTCATCATTGTTTTAATTTGGATCTCTCTAATGATTAGTGATGTTTAGCATGTCTCTTGGCCATATGTATGTCCTATTTGGAGCAGTGTCTCTTTAGGTCCTCTGCCCATTTTTTAATTGGGTTCTTTGTTTTCCTTTTGTTGAGTTGTATGAGTACTCCATATTTTGGTAATTAACCCCTTACCTGACATATCATTGGAAATTATATTCCATATAGTGGGTTCCCTTTCCATTTTGATGGTTGTTTCCCCTATATTCATAGCAGCACTATTTATAATAGCTAAGATCTGGAAACAGCCCAATGTCCATCAGTAGATGAGTGGATAAAAAAGCTATGGTACATATACACAATGGAATACTATGCAGCTGTAAGAAAGAAAAATCTCTTATCCTTTGAGATGACATGGAGGGACTTGGAAAGCATTATGCTAAGTGAAACAAACCAAGCAGAGGAAGACAAATATTATATGATCTCAATTATTTGTGAATATAATGAACTAAAGAAACTGATGAACAAAATAACACAGAGACACAGAAGTAGGGTACAGATTGACAAACCTCAGAAGAGGTGTGAGGGGGGAGATAAACCACACAACTTGCAATATGCATGTATGCATAAGCAATGGTCATAGATAACAAAGCTGGGAATGGGGTGGGGGGTAGGGAGGAGGGTGTCAATGGGAGAAAAAGGAGAAACATCTGTAACAAAAATAAATTAACAAAAATAATTAAAATAAAAAAGAAATCTCAAAATATTAGGCATGATCATTCCAATAATTTTTCATCACTTTGAATTATATGCTAAAAAATAAACTAATACCCATAAACACAAAAATGAGTCTAAATAGCTAGTGTAAACCACTATAACCCTAACATTCACCTGGAAAGTAGCAGTAAATTAAATCATCAACCATATATATACAAACAAGCAGTTGCGAAAAACACTACCAGAGAGATGTGCACGTAGGTGGGAAATCAAACAGTGGGTGCTAAAGGATTGTGCAGCAATTCCAACTTGAAAACATAAGGGTTGAACTGAAAGCTGAAGAAGATCATT